ACCCATTCATCCCACATATCTCTCACAGCTGCTAATTTGTCACTCTGTTTTCTTGCTTCTCGGTCAGAACGTTTATCAAAACGCAAAACCACTGAAATTTGTTTGAAACGTTTCAGGGATATTGTTGCCCGAATATATATAGGTATTGTTGCCCGAATATATATATAGGTCTTCCATAAGCTTCCAAATACCAGCGTAAAATAGCAACTTAAAGCTGCTGTGTTTCGTATGGTGAGTGTAGAGAACCGGAGACCCTTTTCACTGGAAACGGGGCATTCCATCTTAGTCCTCACGGGTGACAACGCATCTGCATTTTGATTCGCAAACGTGGATAGATTTAGATGTCTATGGGCCACAGCAACTTCTTGTCATCAGGTGGACTGTGTGCCCGTTTGTCAGCTTTGTACTACGAGTATAAAAAACATAATCAATATAATATTATTATCTATTTATTTCTTCCTTCTAATTATTTATTCATCTTGTTGGTTATCTCGACTAACTAGCCCAAGGATTTTCACTCAAATCTTTTTGTGGCTGCTTGGTTTTCCTTATACCGTTAAACGTTACAGGCTGCTACTAAAGTCCACTGCTGATTATAGGCCAATAGATTATCTCATAGACTGGATATTTGCCATAGTTGCCACGCTTGGCATGCGGGTTGACGACCTTGTCTTCATTTTTAGCGGTTATTAGGAAGACGCTGCTGCTCATCTCCTGATTTGTTTCCCTCTGCCACGTCTAACGACACCCACGGGATGATGGGGTGGTGGTTATTCTTACATCGCCAATTCACGGTATTATACGGTTTTCTTAACAATGTTCAACAAATGTATTTCCATAGCGTGTTGATCCACCTTAAGTTGATGAACTGCCTTAAAAAATTCGGTAAAGAGGGTCTCCTTGTCGGACACCTCGGCGTATCTCTAATCTAGTATTATAGATATATAGAGTTAAACTTTAGCAGTACTATTATCGTAAATTTCTTTAATAGTTTGCATAATATATTGGTTAGATATTCTCTGGTTCTGATATTACTACAAGACCGAAAAATACAATCTACCACGTTGTCTTGCGTATATAGACTATAAGAAGGCTTTAGATTCTGAAGAAATTTGAGCAGTGCAACAGTCCCTTTAGACCAGTGATTCCCAACCAGTGGTCCACGGACCACAACTGGTCCGCAGGAGCTTAAATATGATCCGCGAAAGATTTAAATATTTTACCTATATACCTATTCGTTTTAAATATATTTTAAATATTTTCTCGCACGCGAGCAATGCTTGTTTTTTTATAGGATAGGGTGACAAACGAGCACACAGTCCACCTGATGGTAAGTGGTTGCTGTGACCCACAGACATCTACATCTATCCTCTAAATCAAAATGCAGAGGCGTTGTCACCCGTGAGGACTAAGATGGAATGCCTCTTTTCCAGTAAAATGGGTCTGCGGTTTTCTACACTCACCATACGAAATACTGCAATGTCAAGCTGCCATATTACGCTGGTATTCTGTGAGAGCGTGGTCCTTACCCGGTCAAGCCGACCCATTCGTGCTACAACTATACTACTAATATAGCTGCAGCATGACTATAAAAATCAACACCACGCGTCACGTTAGTAAGTACCTACTAGCTTTTACAACAAATAAACAAATAATACTGTAAATTAACGCTTCTTTTCAGTTTAACGCAGTTGTTTTTCATCTTGTGGTCCCTGCTAATTACAAAAAAATCAAAGTGGTCACTGGTCAAAAAAAGGTTGGGAAACACTGCTTTAGACAGTCATACCCTTCAAATTACTAGCAAATATTGTCTAGAATTTTTGATTTTGTTATTAATAAATAACTTAATATAATTAATAGAATCAGGCGCTACTTTGCGCAAATCCATTCAAACTAGGTAAGACACATCATTTTATTTTATCGAGTGGATGTACGCGAGGTAATTTTTACCAACTTTAATTTAAATTACTTAATGATAATGTCGATGAATACATAATGTAATATTTAAATTAAGTGAATTATAACTTAATATTTAGTTAAGATTTTTTTGAAAGGTTTATAAGTTTTGAAGGGCAACCAAAGTAATAGTAAAAGTGTAAAAGTAAATAGCATAAGTGTATAAGCGGTGTGAGAATATGTACTATTGACGTGGTAGAGCCATGCTTTTTTATAGGATAGGGTGACAAACGAGCACACAGTCCACCTGATGGTAAGTGGTTGCTGTGACCCATTGATATCCAGATCTATCCTCGTTTTCGAATCAAAATGTAGATACATTGTCAGCCGTGAGGACTAAGACGGAATGCTTTTTTTCCAGTAAAAAGCGTCTCCGATTCTCTACTATCACCATATGAAACACAGCGCCATTAAGCTGCTAATTTACGCTGGTATTCTGTGAGAGCGTGGTCCTTCGCCGGTCGAGACTACCCATTCGTGCTACACTAGTCATGGAAGGACCACACTCCCGCAGAATACCAGCATGAAATAACAGCTAAAAGCTTCGGGCTAAGTGTAGAAAACTGGGGACCCTTTTTACTAGAAATGTAGCATTCCATCTAAGTCCTCAGGGATGGTAAAATATCTGCATCTTAGTCGAGGATAGATGTCTATGGACCACAGCATTCACTTACCATCAGAAGGACTGTGTGCTTGTTTGTCACCTTTATCCTATAGAAAAATCTCCTATCCTACCATGTGTGTCGTAAGGGTGACAGAGGAAGCTGAACCAAGAGATGGGCAGTGGCACCATCCTGAAACCATCTAAATTAAAATATAAACCTACCGCTGCCAACTCGCTGGGTAAGCGTGACGACTATGGCAAATATCCCCGCTATGAGCTTCTCAATCGTGTCTAGCGCCTATGCGCTAACCAGCCAGGTGGGAAATGCGGTGGGAGTTATCTTAATTTAAAAAAAAATTGCTAACCGTTTTGGCACAGCAATCACCGCACACTTTTTAAATAGATGAGAAATATAACGACACAGATTTTACCAGGGAATGGTCATGAGCTCCCAAAGGGGAATTAACCTGAATAGAGGCATCACAGAATTAATCAAATAGCCTAGTTGCGTCATAGCTATCGCAGTGTGATCGGTAGGCACAATAATTGATAATTTTATAAATTTCGGTGTACGAGTATATCAATATCCAAATCGTGGAGAAAGTGGGGTCTTCACGGTGACGCTTACAGCAGATATCATTGAAACTGTATAAAAAGGGTTATTATAGTATTATAAATGAATACATGGTTGGTAATAACCTCTGGGAATGAGGTGGTCGCTTCCAAGCTGTTTCTAAAATAAATTTTGTACTTATATAGTTTGTACAACCATTAATGTAAAATTTGCTTTTAAAAATGTGATCTATATTGAATAAAAAATTATTCTATTCTAATTATTCTATTCTATTGCAGACTTACACACATTCTCAGGCGCGCTGGTGTGAATTATGCTCTAATATGTACTCAGTGTAGTCACATCTGCGTCTCTTTCAAGAAAAGTGAGTGTGGCTAGTCAGTCTCCATCTGGTAGTGGACTGCGTTAATATTACAGTGCAGACCTGGGATATTTGCGACGTTATTTTTAATGCAGAGGGAATGCAACCGTACCGATCCATCCTCTCAAAAAATTATTTTATACCGGAACGCAATGCTACATTTGGCGGTACGTCTTTGCCAGGCGGGCTGTAACTCACCGCCGGCTGGGTCTCCCTCTAGTAAAGGACCAGCCTACTATCGGAATTTAATGCTGCTGGCTTGTCACTTTCCAAACGATACGAGTAGGGAATCAGAATTCAAGTAATTTCTACGGAAGCGTACAGCTTCATCTCCCAATTTATTTTCATTCTGAGTTGTACGCAACCCTCCTCGACACACTCCCAAGCTTTGTATCCCATCATTCATAGTCGTTTCGTGACATCGAATTATTCTTTTATTAGCATAGAATAAGTTCTTGCTTTGATCTGTATAAGCTTGCATGACTTTCATAAATAGGTACGAAAGAGAATGTGTGAGAAATACCATTTTAAGCGTGGTATAACCATGCTGAAGCTATATTAATTGTATAGTTGTAGCATGAATGGGTCGACTCAACTGGGGAAGGAACATGCTCTCATAGAATACCAGCGTAAAATAGCATCTTAATGGGACTGTGTTTCGAATGGTAAGTGTAGAAAACAGGAGAACCTTGTTACTGGAAAAGAGGTATTTTATCTTAGTGCTCACAGCTGACAAGGCATCTGCATTATGATTTGCAAACGAGGATGGATGTAGATGTCTATGGGCTACTGCAACCACTTACTGCACTGTGTACTGTGCTCGCTTGTCACCTTTTTCCTATAAAAAGAAAATTACAAAATTACAAAGTATTAATAGAAAGCATTTTACCTACTGCCAATTTTAACATAATACCGACTTCAAAAAGGAGGAGGTACTCTATTCGACTGTATGTTCTTTTTTTTTAAATGCGCAACCTCACAACTTTTCTGGGTGAACCGATTTCGATGATTATTTTTTATTTGAAAGCTGGTGCTTCTCATGTGGTACCATATAAATATGATCGAGGTCTGACCAGTATATTATGAGTCCTTAATAATTTATATTGAAGTCGGTTATACAAAATTTTAAATTATTTATAATAGCAACACAACATTGTTCATTCTCTATTCTCTAGTTTAAAAAATATAAATAATAATCTATGGTTATTCATTTTTGCAATGTGATTGTGGAAGAATTACACTTGGACTTCACGTAAATTTACTATATTTCTGGAAATATTTTCTTATGCCTTGTTTGATTTTTTTTAATAATAATAAACTTTATTCTTAAATTGTAAATAGATACAGTCGGTCACGTTTGTTATTGAAGTTATACTTCAATGCCAAGATGTCGGTGATAGTCTACTACGATTTTGACAAGAAATTGTTTGTATAATCTGAAAAGCTTTTCGGTAATTCTTATGAGCTTATCATCTTGTAAATATAATAGGTAGAAGTATATCAATATGAATCAACTATCCGATGAAAATGTTTCAAATGTCAAGTGCAGTCAGCTATGCAAGAGCACGAAGAACGTAAATAAAAAGGCCAAAGACCCTGAAGCAACTGACGAAGTAAATAGTGTAGATCAAGAAAATTTAAGTGAATTATTAACAAATACACTTAACATTAAAAAATCTAATAGCAACTTAACCAATGGTACAAGTGATCATTCTGTAGATGAACGTGTCAGCGGTTCCATTTCTAAGTCCGAAGCTCAAGAAGCAACCGCTTTTGAAGTTGCAACAAATGTAAATAGGGTGGAGTGTAATGAAGATTCTGTTAAATCGAATAATCAAGATACTTGCTCTCTGCAGAAGAATGGTGACAGTAATCCGGAGAGCCAATCTATAGACACACAAGCTGACGTAATTGACATTATATCATACGAATCTGAATTACAAATGCCAGAAATTATGAGACTTATACAAAAAGATTTATCAGAACCATATTCTATCTATACTTATAGATATTTTATACACAACTGGCCTAAGCTTTGTTTTTTGGCAACACATGAAGGAAAGTGCATTGGTGCCATCGTATGTAAGTTAGATATGCATCGCAATATTGTAAAAAGAGGCTACATTGCCATGTTGGCAGTTGATAAAAAGTACAGGAAAAGGAAGATTGGCTCTCGGCTAGTTCAAAAAGCAATAAAGGTACAATATTCATATTTGACTGTTTACATTAGTGATTTCTTTGTTCTCATTTTAGCTCCCTTCACTAGCCCTGTTAATTTCAAGATATCAAATTTAATTGTTTTAACTCTTATATTCTTTATTGTTCCAGGCAATGATTAATGACAATGCTGATGAAGTTGTACTGGAAACAGAAATCACAAACAAACCTGCTCTAAAATTATATGAAAATCTGGGCTTTGTAAGGGATAAACGCTTATTTCGATATTATCTTAATGGTGTAGATGCATTGCGATTGAAGTTATGGCTAAGGTGAAATAAGTAGGTAAATAAAGAGAAATTCTCAACGTTGTGTTATATATTTCTAGAGACTATCCAGTCTCAGATATATACATATATATGTATAAAGTGAACCCTACTGTTATAATGGTATAACCTAATGAGCCTGCCATGTGGATTTTAGCCAAATGTATAGTTTGTTTCAATTATATTTAGTCATGTGATATGTTTTATTTTATGTAATTTATGTGTTGAAAATTGTTAATGAAAATGTTTCTGCAATTTCTTTTATATCTTGATGATAAGGTTATAAATGGTTGATATCCTTACAGAAAATACACAACTTTGAAGAATTATGATATGTCTATTCATTTATACCTCTATACATGAATATTTTAAAATATGTGTAAATTTTATAACACTTATTAATGATACTCACAGGTGAAATAACCTTCAGTTCTTAATTATAACAAATATGGATTCAATGAAATACGGTTTCCACAGATTTATATTACTTTATTCAAATACTTTTGATTTAAAAGGTAAATGTAGCAGTGTTTGTAGATGCTCCATCATATATAAAGGTATTATTTACAGGTTTGTATTGCTTTGTTACAATTTTAATAGCTTCATGAGCTACACAGCCTCCTAAAAATGCTGAAACACTATGAATCTCAGCTCCACCATATCGACACATTTCATGAATATGATCATCTTTTGGAAATGGGGAACAAGAAATATCAGTTAATAGTTTTGAAACACAAGTCTTTAACTTAGCTATATCACTTTCTGGCTCCCATTCACCAGGGGCTCTGCAGTGCTCTGAGCGGAACATTTCAGCAGCCCTGAGAAGTATATAATGAACCATCATTACATCAGGTTCTTCTAAATATCTTGCAATATATGAAGAAACTGTATTACTAAATTGATATTCTGAAGTAATACATGACCCTTTAATAAGATGTAAATCATGTGCATGTCTACAAAACAATTTAACTTCAGTTTCAGTAATGTTATCACAATGTAACTGTGCAACAATTTCTTGCACTTTTCTGTAAACTAATTCGGCATCCAATGCAGCTTGATTCCTATAAATATTTTGAAGAGTTACATAGTGATCTGTTGAGGCTGTCATATCTGGCAGTACACCACGAACTGGAAGCTTTCCCTTTCCTTCAGCTTCCACAAAAGCCCGCAATGCAGAGCACATAATCCAAAATGGTGAGCTTTCTTTAGTTAAATTAATTGCAGAGCTGTTATAAATAAGTTCCTGTATTTTCACTGGTAAAAATGTGGGCGTTAATGATGTATTTACTGCTCTTAAAGCTTCTTCAAAATTTTCTTCATAAATTGGCATACCATTATCATCTACCCTCTTAAACTGCTGTATAATTTCTTTAATCTCATTTTTTTCTTTCCTACTCATAGGCCAGCTATTTGAATTTGAAATTTGCCACTTTTGTACTGCTTTATAAAGTATTACTATCCAAGGTATGTGACCATGATCCTTCAAATCCAATTCATCTATGTCAAAACTATTTAAATAATCAAATAATGTATGAAATGGAACATCTAAACGCAGATCATACTGCTCATTATCAGGGTGGCTTTCAATGATTGGATGTTCTTTTATTTGAATTCTGAAGGATCCTAAGAAACCAACAGATCTACAAAAAATTAATGGAACATTAATTTCCCACAAATGATGCGAGAGACTTTGTATAGTTTTCTCACCTAAAGAAGAAGCAATTACCACACTAAAATTCTTAAAAAAATCTGGATTTTCTTGCAGTATTTGATCTGTTGCTTCTTGAACAGCATAACCCTGCACTGCTGGATTTAACTCTAATATTAATCGCAATGATTCTGATCCTCTGTTTAAATTTTTACTTGAGCTTTCCAAGAAAAAATTGCTCCCAATATCTTCGTCGCTTACAATATTATCGTCTACTATGGTAACAGCACCAACACCTGGCAGAACTATAGACTTAAGGATTTCAGTTCCTAAGGCTGTAGCGTTTATCAAGCAAATATGTCCATTTTCAAGAGCAGCTTGGCCGTGATCACCCCACAACCGAAGTTGTCGGTCATATTGTTTATTCTTTTCACTTTGTTCTGGAGATTTGGGACAAGGTGACGCCATTACTTATTTGTATGAAATTTAGTATGTTTTGTGGCTTACTTCTTATTATTATTTATTTTTATTGAATTGAATATAAGTCCAATTTATTCAACAGACCGACTCGGTTAATATTTTTTATTTTAATAAGATTTTTGGTTTGGATGCTTGTCCTATAAGCCACCTTGGTTAATAATTTGACAAATATGCAACAGATAACGTACTGTATTATACTCTTTGACAAGAAATCTCAGTAATAAGAAAAGCTAGTATCAATATTAAAAGAGGTTTCATTGCTTAACATTCATCACCATGCTTCCATAGAGCAACGCGGATCAGAGGGGAGCAGCCATACGCAGGCGTTTCCCTTTGTCAAAGTATCGTCCCTTCCCTTTGTCAAGTCCTCACGGTCTTATGCGTTCAATAAAACTAATTGTAGCCGCATTGCTCACTAGAATAAATCTAATTGCGCGGCTGAATCGACGTTCTACAAAAATGACGAATTATGCCGTTTTTTTGCTGCAAAAAAAAATCTACCATGTAAATTTTACAAAAAAGATGGTGCTACCATTCATAAATAAGTAATTTTTAATCACATTACTGCTATTTACTTCTTTTTAGGTATTATGGATAAGAAAAGTCCTTCGCGCTGCCCAAATGTACATCACATTTTAAATTAACACCAAATGTAACACTTAACTTACAATAAATAATTCGAATTTATGTGTGTTGGTGGACTTCAAATGTCTCCGAAATATTTTTTTAATTCCCAAGACATGGAGGCTTATCACGATCTTTTCCTTCCCCGTAGAACACTTGGTAAATCAGCACATAAATTGTTATTAACAATTTCATTGGTGCCGGTGGAGTTCAAGCCTACGTACTATGATCTTTACAACGAGCGCTTAGCCCCTAAGCTACCATGGCTTATTACAACCTTCTCACAAATGAAAGCAGGCCTATGCCCAGGATGTGACGTATTTAAGGCTCTAACTTTAACTTTTTAACTGCTTTTTAAAGTTAAAAATTACAGTAATAATGGTCGTGTTGTTCCGGATTTACAGATCGATCGAGCGACTGCTCCGAGTCTGTATCCGAGCTATCGCTGTCACCGAGGGATACTGATATAATGTATATTTGTGTGTATAAAGTTGTTATTGATGATTGTTTTTGTGTCCGAAAATCCCCCCCCCCCCTTCCCCACTAAAAATAACAGATAGTGTTGCATCAGGTAAAGCGGCTACTCTTGTCTGGTGTGCTGGTGGCCCATGTTGTTCTATGCCCTTCAATGAAAACCTCATATGATATTTCTCTAAATTGTAAAATAATTTATTCGTTTTAAACACCCTCCTTCGATAAAAACTACCTGAAATAAATTAAATCAATATCTATCATATCAAGGAAACAAAAATTATATAAAATCTAGTTTTCCTAAGCTTTAAAAATAAGATTTTTTTGAATGGCTTTGTTAACAAATTCGCTCTCAAACCTAATGTCTCAATTCGCGATTTTCTCCTTTAAGAAGTACCTCATGTTAATAGATCTATAGCTTTTGGAATTTGGAAATGTATTGGATTGTTTGCTATTTTGTTAAAATATCTTTCTCGTCTCAAATTTAACGATTTCTTGATCTTAATATCTGACTTCAATTCTCAAAGGTACATCAAAAACCAACAAATTTTTTTATTCGGATTTGTTATTTAGTACGTAAGTCGGAGGCAACATTTTGTATGATTTTAAAGGCTAAAATAATTAAAATTACATAGTAAAAATTATATTCTATTGGTTATATGTCTCGTATTTCTATATGATAATAATAAAAAAAATAAAGTGTAAAACCATTAATAATTGTAAAAGTAAATGCATAAATTTTATTAGTGATATACTTGCCCCAACTTATTTAGCTTTACGGATAATATATTTTAGTTACCGTTTTTTATTGTAACAAATAATTTTCATGTTTCAAAATATCCAGAAATAAGACGTGAGTGGATTAACGCACACTTGATAACTGATAGCCTAAATAAAATTCTAGAGTCAAAAAATAAGAAGGGGAAAAAATATCCCAAAACTTTGTAAAAAACATTTCGATAAATCCTGTTTTATTGCAGACTTATCGATTAAAAAGTGCAAAATTATGTATTTCCAACAGTTTTTCAAGAATCAAATCTCATATCGTCCCGCGAATATCGTAGGAGGCGACAAGGGGATACTGAAACAGGAAATGAGCAGCAGCATCTTTCTGCTAATGTGGTAACTCATCAATGCAATTCATACCCACAGTTTCTTACCTCAAATAGTGATAACAACAAAACCCCACTGTCTACAATTCTAAGTCAAATACGGTTCGACAGTCTTTCACTTCCACAGCAAGAGCATCTGTAACCAGATTCAGAAAGGTCTTTAAGCCGTGAGGTACCCTTATAGTTCATCATTTTGGTAAAGATTGTAAACCTTGCAATAAACACGTCTTTGGGAATATGTGCGAACCAGAGATGAAAATAACCAACTGCAAGGTATAACACCAGAAGATATATCTAAAGTACTCTGTTACTATATCTGTCATCGCTGAATTGGAATGCTGGAGCCTTTTTGACACTGATATTATGCTGATAAGAATTTTCATATTTACTAACGCACGTAAGTATATGCCATACAAACTAGTAAAGTAAATTATGCGAGGGAATGCCAATTTTGTTGATTTCTAATTGTTTAGTTTTGATGGTCAAAACAATAATATTACACAACAATAATATATGTTATATATCTAACATAGGTTTTATCAGCCGTCTTCAAAAAATGAGAACAATTTCAATTCGAGTGCATTTTTTGTACGTATGTTACCGATTTTAATAATTGTTTTTAAGGGTGAGTCAGTAGAGAATGAAGTTTATCGTAAAACTATTTCAACGAAATTCGAGCATTTATAATTATAAATGCTAAACGTGTAATAAAAATATGGTATTAAGGGTAGATTCGACCAAATATCATGTTACACCAAAGAAATATTAGCTGTAAAGCGGGTTTTAAAAATTACGCACACTCATTACTACTAAAAATAATTCTTATTATATAACTAAATTCAAACATATTCAAACTACACAAATACTTCCATTTTTTCGTTTAAAAGTTTAAAATACAGAGATACGATTTAAATTTTAAACTACACAGCAGACTTTGGTATATTATGTAAATTTTAGTTCCCGGTACGAACAATGGTAGTGCTTCAAATCGGCACAAATATTTTATTCGGTATAGCTATTCCAGCATACTTGTATATTTAGAGGTCAGCGCGGGAGCTTCACTGACTGTGGATTAATGGAATAATTTATTATTATTATTATTACATTGGGGTATCTATAAAGTTTTCTCATCTGATTGGGCACTTTAAATATATAATTGTAAAAGAACATGGAAAACATACATAAATATCAATAAAGTAAAATAAATACATAAATATTACATGTTTATATATAAAAATTCCGTGTCACGTTGTTTGTCCGCGATGGACTCTTAAACTACTGAACCGATTTCAATGAAATTTTGCACACTGTGTGCAGTTTGGTTCAACTTAAAGAGATAGGATAGTTTTTATCCCGTTAAATGACCCTCAATTTTTTTTATTGCGAATTTAAGGAATTTTGTAGGGAGGGTCGTTGGAAAGGGCAGAACAACGTCTGCCTGGCGAGCTAGTAAATATATAAAAACCCAACCTAATGGAAGCTCTCAGCAGGGGAGACCAAACGGTCGAGAGTTAGGGGGAAAGGGAAAGGAACCGGCGGACGATGCGGGCGGTATCGAGGAGCACCGACTTCGGCATTTGAGCTTGGAGCGGTCCGTCACGGAGTCCCAATCGCCTCAGATGACCCGAGAGACTGATTGGGATTAACCCGTTCGCAGAAACGACCATAAACATAAACATAAACGAATAATTTCGGTCGGCAGACCACCCCACATCTCGGTCACCTCGTGAGCCAGGTCCAGATATTTTGTCAGTTTATCTGTTTCGGCTTTCACGAAGTTCTCATCATAAGGAATGGTAATGTCGACCAAAAATATCCTTGACTGTGCCCGGTCCATCAGCAAAATATCAGGCTTATTCGCAAGAATAGTCCTATCTGTAAAGATGGCCCGGTCCCAGTAGAGTGTGGCGCGGTCATTTTTGAGCACGGCTTCCGGCAAGTACTCATAATATGGCAGTTTCCGATACACGAGACCGTATTTCAGAGCAAGCTCCTGGTGTAGAATCCTGGCTACTAGGTTGTGTCTGTGCAAATACTCAGAGTTAGAAAGCGCCGAACAACCGGAGATGACATGCCTAAGTGACTCACCGGGATGGCGACAAGCTCGACAGATGACGATGGCGCCATCCTTTAGGATGTATTTCCGATAATTGTTGGTCTTAATAACCTGATCCTGTATCGCACAGACAAAACCCTCGGTTTCCGCAAAGAGGTCTCTGAAACGTAACCAGTGGAGGAAGGCGACTGTAAATCACAAGATAAGGTGTCAATCTACTAATGTGCATCGAGATACCACCGCCAAATATCTGCTGGCTCAAGTTGCCGTCAAAATCTCTCAAAAACTACGCATTGTGACGCATTAACATATTGTGGAGCAGTGTACTATAAAGGACTATTATTACTTGACGCTGAAAATCTATAAAAACGTAAATCTAAAAAAATTAAAATGTGGCTTTAAAGATAAGCATCCAAGCCAAAAATATTAATAAAAAATGTTGAAAGTGAAGTGACATTGGCAGAATTGTATAATTGTATTACCATTTACCTATGTACTACTAAAAAAAATTGTTATCAGACCATGAGACGCCTTATGTTAGAGAAGTAAGAAGATTACTCTACCTCTACTACTAATCTTTGGGTTAAACATATAAAGTGAAATGTTATAATTAATTTTGGACCAGTATTGTGTATGGAAATGAATTTACAAACATTGTTTCAGGACTTCAATCCTAGGTATAGCTATAAATAATTTTGGCTTTGCAGTAATTAATAATAAATATTGTTGCAATAACCATCACTATTTTTCAGCAAATTCGTAGTACACACTTGTTTACTCATATTTACTGCGTTATTGGCTTTAAAATTGGATAATACAATCACCTGGTCATACTGGGCTGTATTTACGCCAATATGGGTATGGAAATTTTTAGTTGTTCTTGGTGCTATGGTTGGCACGTATGTATGGTGGCAGTACCCTCACTTCAGGTTAGTAATGATTGCTATGTATCTTTTTAAATTAATGAGCTTTTCAAATGAATTACTATATCCTATTATACAAGTTTTCTAAGTATGGTTTGAAAGTATCCAGAATGCTTGTGTTAGAAGTGGTTCACGACAGTAGTTGAATGGCGGATTCGAACCCACAATTTTTTGAGTTTTCGATTCGTGCCCTGCCTAAATTAGGCTACTGACGTTTAACTGTAAACTGTATCCAAGCTTCTCGTTATTATTTTCGATAGACTTGTCATGTGAAACAAATTTGTGGAATATCTATGATTTAATATCCTCAATCTTATAGTGTATATTTAGAGCATGTCCTACTTCAAAACTAAATAAATAATTTTTACAATTTAATTGGGCAAGTTTTAAAGTACATAGGTGATGGCTATGTTTCATCATCATTACAGTCCCATCACAAGTCCACTGCTGAACAATGGTCTCCCCCCAAGGAATGCTACAAAGCATGGTATTGAGCATCCATCAACTTCCTGCATCTCTTATCAAGTTATTACTCCATCTAGTGGGTGCTAAAGTACATCATATATTGGAGTGCTGAAAGTTTATGTACAGTACAGTGTCCATTTTTCAAAAGGGAATGGATGCTTAAAGAGGATTGGCCGCCAAGACTAAGAGAGTGTATAGGAGGGGCACATTTTGAAAAAATTTTTTACTATAATTATGTTAATTTAATACTCTTAATAAACAAAAACATTATTTGAAGTAAGCTTTACTTTTGATTTTATGACCAGTTTTTACTTGTAACAGTATTTAAGGATCTATACTAAGCACAATGGATAAAATTTGTCTCACTGTAGAACATGAAATGGATTAGAATCTGTTTATCCTGGAAGTATGTGTGTTCTCATGGGATAATTATGATATTGTTTTATATATTAGTTTTTGGCATATTAAGCAGAATATAACTATAAATTTAGACAAAAGTTTTTTGTAAAGTAAATATAAGTTGAAATATATGGCAGTTTAAAATTTTCTTAGCAACTAACTGAAAAACTAACTAGGATAGAGGTACCCTATGAGTTAATACATGAGTTAACTATGTGTTAATCTATGTTCCATGATCTATCTCTGTAAATTATAAATGATATTACATAAAGACTCAAAGAATTATATACTGGTCATTGGGAACATGTCATACAAAACTCTGATCTCTTACATTAGTAATGTAATCTTGCTTTAAATAGCAAAAACACGTATTAAAATAGTTAGAACAATTATCTTAATATGTGGCACTTTATACAATCATAATCATGGATAGAAAAATGTTTGAATTTTTTGCTTAGATTATTAAAGAAGCCTACTATCTAAATTTCATGCTTATGTCTCCTAGTTGAGGCTTAGTGATAATGAATTATACATCATACTGCTGAACATAGATTTTAAGGCCATAAGATTGCCTCTTAGGTCATAGGGAAGACATTTGACATAGTTGCCATGCTTAGTAGCAGTTGGATTAGCAACATCAGTTTTTTATTATTTATTATATTGAGTTGTGATGTTTGTGCCTATCTTCTGTTTAATTTTTTCTCTGTTGTCTCAGTTGTTGTAATCGGTCATATGGGGTAGTGAATTCTCTTATGCTGCCATTTCACAGAAATATTGACTATCCTTTGGTGTTACCTTGGTTTTTATTAAGGCCGCAAATTATTAATTTATTTAAATTTATGTGTGTTATTTTTTGTTTAAGTAAGTGATAAATCGGAAACAGACATGAGAATTTGGATTAGGTAAAATAAATACCTATTTCACTTATATCTTAATATTTTAAATTAATGGGTAAGGTTTGAAAATAGGTTGCCTGAATTGGGGGTGGAGAGGAGTTGCAGAGTCTCCCCCTACTTCCCTTTCCTGCCAGACGTGCTTAGTTTTGTTTTTATAAATTTTTAAAAATCTCATTTTGAGGTTATGTTTTCGTAATGTTTTGACAATATAAACCTGATTTATGGGGGTAGAGAATTCGGGGAGGGGAAACCCCACGCCTCTCAGGGCTCCTACTTCTGAGTGGTTTACAAAAAAATAACTACGGAAGGGATGGCGGGGTTTATCCCCTCGCTTCGCTCGCTTAGTCGACCCTGCTATCCCCTTCTAACGTAACCTGTCCAAGTCGAGCCACAAATCCTGAGCTCGCTTCGCTCGCTCGTGCTCTCAATAAAACACCGAAATATTATTTTTTATAATTACTTTAATTTATAAACATAATTTATAGATGCCACCATTTGTAAGAAAGGATCTTTGCGAAATTTTGCAGTGTTCCGCTGCCACAAATACTCCACTATGGCATCACCAAAATTCTCAGGATGATTATAATTGTCTTTTTTGACAAAACGTTTCACGGCTCTCCATTGTGACTCTATTCTTTGTGTATGAGCCCCATCTGGGGCCATGAATGGATTGTCAGTGTCTGAGTGGTTCACTTTTTTGTAGGTGTACCCATGTTCCTCTAGGCAGTCATATGCTCTCCAGCTCCGGCAGCAAAATCACATGGGGGTGCTTAAGATAAACCCCCTTTTTTTTTTAAAAACCTTTGACCCCCCCCTCGACAGTGACACCATTCGCTGCACTGTTAAATCATTAATTGTCAAAACCTGGATGATGTTTGAAAAATTATAAATCTTAATCCCCTAAACCTTATAAATGGTGCTTACAATCAACCTGAGAAAGTTGAACGATACCATTTGTTAATGGATAAAATAAAAAATTTGCAAATTAATGGACGGAATATTGAATCCGTGCTGTATTCGTCCCAGACACAATCCCTAATAATCCTCATTGACTTGGATTAGGTGCGGACTAGTATCAAAAATACCTAATCCACATACATAATCTAATAAAATATGCTTCATTGTGGATATTGTTTGGTTTTGTTAAGACACTTAGTTATATCATATTATTTATTCTATGGTTATATTCACAGACTACGATTTGCTTTGCTTTGTGATTCGGATTGTCATTCTCATTTGTTGTTTCCATTGAGGTTTTTATGCTTTACTGATTTTAAAACATGCCAATCAATGGCAAATTAATTTTCCGTAAAGTTTTCTATTTCTTGAGATATGAAGATAATTCCGGAGGTTCCGGACCCCTGGGGTCAGGAAATTTCTCTTAAAGCGGAACTGAGAAGAGCAAATGAAAAGCCATAGCAGGCGAAGCATTATCTGGCATTCCAACTTGCTACTGTGGAATCAAACCAGAACAATCTCAAGCACGGCTTACGGGCCAGAAGATATTACCATTTTTTTAATTTTATAAGTACCAGGAGAAAATGTGTTATCCTCGGACTTGATGTACTTTTATTGTACCAGCAATAGGTTTAATGTTTGGTCGATTATCTTCAATTATTTTCCTTTGTAAATCAATTTCTTTTTCGTGTATCACAAAAATATGAATGCTAGGACAGATTTTTTCTAATTCCTTAAAGTCTTCAATACTTCCTGAAGCGACAATTTTGTCAGGGGTTCGTTTACATGTCTCTCCGATATCACCTGGAGCTCCTTCTTCTGTTTTTCGATGCGCCTTAGCTTCTTTTGTTATTCATGTACTTTTTGACGTAATTTCATACTTAACACTGACTTTCTGATCGTCTTTTAGCAGCCAGAGCTAAATTGCTGTGGAAGTGGAGGTTGGTTTTCATTATCAGACGCAGTTGGTGTTACTGGATAGTTTCTGGTAGAGTGTAGCGTCAGTTTTTAGTCTTCTATCTCCATATTTTTCTTATTTCTTATTATTTTTTTTAAACGTTACCCCCACAGTAGGATTTTCTCCTGTGTCGTGGAGGCTGGAGGCAGTTTACAAACATAAATTGTACAAGGGCAAACATCCAGACCCGGAACAATTATTTATAGGCCATACAAATACTTGTTCCGTGCGGGATTTGAACCCGCGGCCCCCAGCGCAACAACTGATTGCTAAGCCACTGCGCCACGGAGCCGTCAAATATATGTCCATATTTTCCTAACAGCCCTTTGTTCCCTTTCAATCATATCATTAATGCTCTTAGTTTGTCCCTTTTTCTTTTTATCATATTTCCGCTTTTCTTTTTCTTTTAATTCAACATTTTTAACCAGATCATTTTTAATTCTTTGGTAGAGTAATTTTTCATCTTGATGTTTTTTCAAGCCTCCTTCCCTTGTTTGCTTCTGATATATTCGCCATGATATCCTATTATGCTCGAGTACATAGAACAAATAAATTGAAGCGTTATAAGATTAAATATTAACGAAACAAAATTTTGTCACTTCCCTGGGACGGCTGTAGTTCCCTTGGCATGAAATATGCCAGAGAAGTGACCAAATCGCACATTACCTACAAAAACAACAACACTTGTTTTTCTTACCAGAATTTAACGTAATTCATGACATCTATACAAAATATTTGGAAAACATTGCATTGTGCAAATTTACAATTTCGTAACGACAAAATACAAAAACGAATACTTACCAATGGAAATACTTCAACGACTGGCACAAACACGCTTTCCTACAGTAGATCGAAAACTGACGCAATATTGAGTTTTGCTCATCGCCGTTAGCTTACTTCTAACTTCAGACTGTACTACGCGTGTAGTTCAAGCATAAAAACATACTTTATTGGTTTTATGTCAAATTTTTAGTCTTTCAGTTTCGCCAGGTGAGGTGACATTATTGTAACGTGACGTGAAAATATTTTTTTATATTATTAAATATTTTTACAATGTCTTTGTTAAAATATGTTTCGATGTTTATTTAGGCGTATAATCATGTTAAAAGAAAACATAAAGGCTTAAGTATTATAATACATATGGCCATAAAATTATACAATCTAGCAATGGGGGAGGCCAGGGGAGTATACATTTATAACTATTTTAAACTATTAATGCCTTAAATCAAGGGTCGGCATGTAGTTTTAGGTGGGGTCCGGATACTGTGGGAAAATTTTAACAAGGTCCAGAAAAAAACAACTGATAATAATTAAGTACTATGTATTATTTTAGTGTCAAATCAAATTCTGAATTATAAAACACAAGACGTAAAATTAATGTGAGAAACTACACCGACAGTCTTGAGCCAGCTTTTTATAGTTTGGTTCTCGAGAGGAACAGCAAATTCGAAGTGTGTCTTCTAGATGGGCGTCCGTTAATCTCGAACGATATTTGTTTTTCAATAAATGCATCTTTGAGAAAGATGTTTCACATACGTATGTCGAGCCAAACATAGTGGCTAAATTTATAGCTAGTTTCTTGCAATTTTCATATTTTTCTGGGACATGTTTGGCCCAAAATTCTTCAGTGGATACCGTTTTGTACATTTGCAAAGACAAATCTTCTTGCAAATCAATTATCTCCATTTGAAGTGATGGCTTTGACAGGTTAAACAACTTGGCAGCCACATCTGTCCATTCTGCTGCTACATCAACCTCAAATGGCGATTTAAGAAACGGAGACAGCTTGCTCACCTCTGCAAAGTCTTGGAATCTTGTAGCAAATTCGTTCTTAAGATCGGCCAGAAATTTTACAAACACTGCAATGTCTTCTACAGAGTTCTCCTTTTTATATTCAAGAATTGTCGGAAAACGAATAAATTCTTGTCTTGCAATATCTTTTTCAAAGATATCCAGCTTGCGACGAAAAGCAGACACGCTTTGTATCAGATCACATATTAATTTTCCATTTCCTTGTAACTCTGTGTTGAGCGCATTTAAATATTTCAAAATATCTTTTAGAAAAGCCACAATCAGCATATTGCGCTTGTTTTTTATGAACTCAAAGTGCTTTCTGGCTCCCTGAGTATCTAAGTTTTGCAAGAAGGAGGTTACATGTTCTTTTATTAGCCAGAAACGTTCAATAACTTGACCTTTACTTAGCCAACGAACGTTGTTGTGTTGCAGTAAGTCAGAATATGCTGAATCACATTCAGAAAGAAACTCCTTGAAATAACGGTGCTGAAGAGCAGAATGAGATCTCTTAAAATTAATCAACTTGACCAAGCTTTCCATCACTTCTTTCAGTGTAGCACTAAGTTTTCCACAAAGGGCTGCCTGGTGAATTATGCACTGATACGATATTAGACCTAAGTTTTTATCCCTGATTCTCTTTACTACACCTTTTTCTTTGCTAATCATTGCTGGGGCCCCGTCAGTTGAAAGCGACACCATTTTATCATAACTAATGTTAGATTTAGTAATAAATTCATCAATGACCTTGAATAAATCTTCTCCTCGAGTGTTACCTTTCAACGGCAATACTGCTAGCAACTCTTCCCTAAAAATCTGACACTCAATGTCAAGAAATCTTACGAAAATAGACATTTGTTCATCATCAACAATGTCACATGATTCATCAAGTGCTATGGCGTAGCAAGGTGCCTTTTGCAGAAGTTCAAAAAGAGTGTTTTTAATATCAGCAGCTAAAATTTCCGTTCTTCGGGTATTACTTCTCGCTGTATAATGGAATACTTTGAATTGCAGCGACAACATCTTTTTTTTCTTCAAAAAGTGCCTTGACTACTTCCAACATACATTCCTTTACTATCTCAGAATCTGAAAATGGTTTCTGGTGTTTATTAAGTGTCCAGCATACACGTAACGCTGCTTCTGTAGATTTTTCTTGTTCACTCATGCAACGAACTAGTAATTTCGTGCTTTTTTTGTAAGAACTGAGATATGCCTGATGTTTTTCTTTACGAGCCTTACTGCCAAGAGGAAAGTTTTTGTGAAATTGCTGATGAGTTGTTTCGTAGTGTCGCTTCAAATTGCCACTTTTAACAATAGCGACAGTTTTATTACATATAAGGCACACTGGAACCGCTTGAGGCCTATCAGGCAGCGTAAAACAATATTCTTCAGTCCATTCTGCCAGAAACCTCCTATTTTCACTGTCCACTTTACGCTTTTTAGGATCCATATTAACCTAGGTACGAAAATGTTACAAAAACGCAACAAATCACAAAACAAATAAACCGTTGCTCCGCGGTTTGCGCTGCGACTGAACGACTGGCGACTGGCAATCTGCTTTCCCCCGCCCACACGCCTGGACCCCCGATTTCGACCCGCTGGCGCTTGTTTCAACAAAACAAAACAAAAACAGTCGCATGCGCGCCGCAGTAAGGTAAGGTAAGCACGCGGGACGCTGTGAAACGCTCTCGCACATATTTCCGTAAAAATGGTACGTAATTCAATGTATGGATGTTTTGTGTGCGTAAAAAAAATTTAAAAATATTTAAATCACATCAGTTACAACTAATTCGCACAAATCGCTAGATAGGAAACTAATCAAACCATACATCACCATACATCAGTTGTAGGTACTTGTAAAACAGGTTAACCAGGTACTAAGTTAAATTCTACATGGCTTAAAAAATATTATTTTAATTAATAAAGGTAAAGTATACCTTATCTACGTATTAATTTATACTTGGTATGCAATACATTACAATATTTGGCGGTCCGAGGTTCGACCTTTCGCGGTCCGCAAACGGACCGCGGTCCGCCTGTTGCTGACCGATGCCTTAAATTAAACAATCGTCGTGAATTTACTGTGTGAACCAAATAATACACGATATTATTTATTGCGTAAGCATGCAATAACAAATAGCGGAATTCAAATACTGCTCCGTGGCGCAGTGGCTTAGCAATGAGTTGCTGCGCTGGGGGGCGCGGGTTCGAATCCCGCACGGAACAAGTATTTGTATGGCCTACAAATGATTGTTCCGGGTCTGGATGTTTGTCCTTGTGAAATTTGTGTTTGTAAACTGCCTCCACGATACAGGAGAAAATCCTAGTGTGGGGGTAACGTTTTTTTAAAAAAAAAAAGCGTATAATATTCACCCAAATATGAGGCACCCCAACGAGCTGCTGAGATAATAGTAGTCTCGGACACACTACAATGCACTACAGACGATTTGAGAGCAGTTGAAACACCGGAGCGGTACAATCGTCTGCGCCAAGAGCGCGGTGCACGATGAATGGCAAACGAGATAGCATGATGAACATGTGGTGTCCCAGCCAACTTAAGAACAACTTAAACGCCGAAGCTGTACAGTCATCGGCGTTTACTGCACAGATTTATCATAAAATTTAATTACTTCTGACACCAAACTTGCAGCCACGTTTCTTATAAGTTTATTTCATAACCACGTGCAAGTAGAGGCGTTCTAAGCATTCAAGGAGTGGAACGAGTGGTAGGAGGAATAATATCTTGGTGCAAGGATTCAAAACGGCTCTGGATAACATACCCAACGACTCTCATAACGTAGTAAGCCAACCTGACCGGGTAATGCACGGACAGTACATAATCAATTTCATTATGGATATTATTCATTAAATTTGGGAAAATGTTGCCATCTGCGTCCGTTTCCAGTCTACCCTTTCCGATTTGTAGCAGCTTTCTTGCATAGACTCTTGATTCTGTCTTTGTAAAGTTGCATACGCTTGTTGCATTAATGTTTGACGCACCCTCTGGTGCGTCGAGAAAAAAGAGCGTCTTGTCTGCATTATCTATGCGTTGCAGCATCGTACTAAACATGTGCCGCTACTCGGGAAGCAAATGTGATTCAATGTCTAAGCGTACTTCTTGGCGTTGGAGCTGAGGCTACAATATCACTGGAGTATTCCTCCTTGCGCTGCGGCATGGACAAACCAAAATAAGCCAGTTTATACTAGATATTGATATCTTCTTAAAAAAAATTTAACGCATCGTTATGATAAAATGCTTATGCGTGCTCTGTAGGCTACGCGCTAAATCTTCTGATAATGCGCCCAAAATGAATATCTTAAATAAAATATGTTCCTTGTTCATTTTAAGACCTACCCACTGGGAGACAAGTTTGAGGTCTGGATACGTTCAACTGTGGATTTATGATGAGTTGTGGATCATAATGTTGATGATGATAATGATAATAGGATACAATCCTCTAGTAGCCTAATTTGTATATTGCTCACTTCACTACACTGTCACGAACGGATATCTAACTGGCTTGAACTGTCTAAATAACCCGTTGGAGCATTTAATATTGGTATAGTGTTAGAAAACAGATACTATTACTATTAGTAAACATAGTTACTTTTGCACGCCTCATAACGCTAAGCGTTATTAGGTGTGTATTACTTTCGACATGTCAAGGTTAAGCAATTTGGTAGTCATAAAATACCTCTATCATAACCATATTGCATGACGGCCGGATGTTGATTATGTATGTGGTCACGACAACTCTCGAAAAAATTGACGTATCGAGACCGGGTTTTTTTTATTAGCTTCTGAATTACATCAACTGGTTCCCTATTTCATATCAGTAACCTGGTATGCGTCGTTTGCCAAAACCTCTTACTGACTTAGTGCAACTTTTATTCGTTCGAGATTCGGATGATGAGATTTATCATCCGCCATGAGAGGCACTGAACTCGAGATCTAACTCTCAAAAATATGGTTTAGTAAAATCTGAAAAAATTAATACTGACAAATCGAGTAGAGCCAAAATTATTAAGATTGAACAAGGAAATTAAGGTGGAGGGCTAGAAGGCTAAAGACTTAAGACTTATAACGTAATTCTTAAGACCGTGGAACACTAATTATGTAAGTATAACTTTTTTTTCAAATGATTTAATGCAAAAAAATGTTTTTTGTTCTCTTTGCAGATTAGAAGGTGAAGCTTACATACACTACAAAGCTATGTTGATAAGCCTTGCCATTCACTTAATATTGCTTATGTTTGAGTTACTTGTGTGTGACCAGTTGAGCACAGGACGCCATCTATGGATACTAGTCTTCATTCCTTTAATTTTTATTAGCATTGTATCGATTGCTATCTGTATATGGTCTGTAAAACATGACCGCAGTTATGAGGTATGTATTTATCGTAAGAAGCAAAAATAGGTATCACTACATATAACCTTCATTGTTGTTAGTCTATGTTTACTTGGTTTTAAGTTTGTTGCACAGACGTATACAGAACCCGACAATTGATTTGGCATATCAGGACAAGAAGTTCGATCTGTCGCCTCAGACCAAATAAGGAAGAAAGACTGAGCGCTGTGTACATTTCAAGTGATGCAAAAACTAAACCTAAATCCCCACATAATATTCTAAAAGACACATTCACGTATACATATGCACCTTAAATCATTTCCAATCAACATAATGGTTTTAGTTATATATGTGTGCGTCCAGCAGTTAAGTTTTACGGGTTAATAAAGAAACAGAGAAAAAAGATTTGTGCCCGAGTGCGTGTCAAGAAGTTGAGCATTGTTTCGGCATCACTTAAAATGTACCCAGTGCTACGTCTTTCTTTCTATATTGGTTTAAATTAGTCGCACAACGTGCTATCGCAGTGTCATCAATTTTGCCTTAATAAGTAGAAAGGCACGTCTGCCTTTTTTCTGAAATTGACTTGTGTGTATGTATACTCGGAATTATTGAAATAAAGTTCATCGTGTAATATTTTTTTAGCATTAATAGAGTTAAATAAAGATAAATTTGCAAGTACTTTAGACATTCGACGGCTCCGTGGCGCAGTGGCTTAGCAATGAGTTGTTGCGCTGAGGGTCGCGGGTTCGAATCCCGCACGGAACAAGTATTTGTATGGCCTGCAAATAATTGTTCCGGGTCTGGATGTTTATCCTTGTGCAATTTAAGTTTGTAAACTGCCTCCACGACACAGCAGAAAATCCGTGGAGGGGTAACGTTTTTTAAAGAAAAAAGAAGATTTAAATATTAAAAATAATAATTTTTAATATTTAATCCTTGAATTAAATATTAAAAATAATAATTTAACTTTTACTTGTACTGCTTTAAAGTACCTACTTGCTTTTTTAATGACCCTGAAAATATTTTAACTTGGATTTTCGGTACTTTTTTTTTCCTTATGACGAATTGATGGCGATAAATATTGTACAAGAATACAAGACGATGAGATGGCAAATGCTCTCTACAATGAGTTGCAAAATATGTCATTAATAATTTCATAATTATGAGCATAAAATTACCGTAAAACCATATTAATTTGAAGGTCAAGAAAATCACATTTGAACATCAACAAAATTATAAGCCAGAGATTTTGTTATAACTCGGTTACATAATTATCTACTTATATATAGCTAATATGTAATGAATTTATTAACTATCTTAATAAATTCATTACATATTAGCTATCCTTTCCTCATCCAAAATATGACCTAATAGTCGCATAAAATATTTTTGAATTTAAATTTACCTTATTTAATCATTTTTCAGTTGGAATTATTTTGTGCTGTTAATATTCTGCAGTTTATATTCTTAGCATTGAAGTTGGATACTTTTATTCACTGGTCATGGGAGGTTGTTTTTGTGCCACTTTGGATACTGATGTGTCTCAGCCTAGTAGGTGAGTGTATGTATACTTTTACTTGCTTTTATTATTATGTAAGTGGATTATTTAAAATGGATTCCAACTTGATATTACTGTTTTAACGGGTATGAGTTTTTTAATGGGTACTTTAAATGACTGAGTCATTAACACAGTTGCTCCTTTTTGCGATTTTTTGACATAACATAACATTTTAAATTTTTAACTAAGTTATTGACGGATAGAGATTTCTGGCTGATTAGCAAATTTCCATAGCTGAAAAAGGTCAAGAAGTTCATAGTATTTCATTATCTATTTATTCAACTTCAAGGGTGCGTTTTTAAGTTCGCGGAATGAGGGGTAAGGAGTGGAAATAAAAATCCAAATTTATTTTTCCATTTCAATATATTCACCTGCTACCCTAATACATTTTTCGGATCTTTCAATTAACTTTATGTATACTCTCAAAAAAAAAAATGATTTGTCTTTGTCTAAAAATACCCGAAACTGCTTCCTTCACTTCTTCATCACTTAAAAACTTTTTCCCACGAAGTTTTCTTTTAAGTTTGAAAACAGATAATAATCACTGGGGGCCAGGTGAGGACTATAGGTTGGGTCTGGCAAAATTTCGATGCCCACCTTCTGCAGGGCAGCCATCGCAACATGGCACTTGTGAACAGGCGCGTTGTCGTGCAGAAGAAGGATTCCTTTGGTCAATTTTCCCCTTCTTTTCTCCTTTATGACTTCTTTCAATTGTTCTAGGCTTGAAGCGTAGTAATTTCCGGTTATGGAGACATCTTTATCTCTATATTTAATCAATAGGATTCCTTCTGAGTCCCAAAAGACTGTCGCCATGATTTTCCCAGCCGATTGTGCCACCTTAAATTTCTTGGGTGGTGCTGTGCCTTTTTTGTGCCACTGCATAGAGTCCTGTTTGGACTCAGGTTCATAATGGTGAACCCAAGTTTCGTCACCAGTAACAATTCGAACCAACACTCCCATCTTTGTCTTCCATACAGAATCCAAAATACACAAGAATACTCCACGCGCTGTTGCTTTTGAGGCGGCGTGAGCATTCTAGGCACCTATCTTGCGCTGACTTTAGTCATGCCAAGATGGTCATGAATAATTTTGAACATGGTTGTATCTGATACTCCAACCATTTCTGCGAGCTGTTTTTTTTAGGCGGGCATCTTCTAATATTAATTTTTCGACTTTTTAAATAATTTTCGAAGTGCTCACCTCGATCGGCCTTCCTGGCCGTGGGTTGACTTCAAGTGACTCTCTGCCTTGTTTAAAAGGGTATGCCGCTTGTAAACCATAGTTTTACTTGTACAAGAGTCTCCGTAAACGGTTGACATCTCTTCCAGTATAGTCTGAACTGATTTTCCGCGCTTAGCAAGGAACTTTATAACGGCATGGAACTATTTTCTCCATATTTCACAATTTCTTCCCGATTGACTTGTTTGGTTGACGATAACTCAAAGACTAATGATCTAATTACAATAAAACCCGGTATTTATACTAATAATATATATATACTTATTGCCTACCTACCCATTTCGCGAACTTAAAAACGCACCATCGTAAACAAGTAAATTCCATAATTACCTGACATAATACTAAGGAAGCTTATGTGTCCTCATATAGAGTTCATTTATTTTTAATTTAGTTATTTCTAAATTACTTTATATACATAAGTTTAAAAAAATAAGAAACAGTATATTGTTACATACAAAATTCTTGCTTGTGTTATATTAAATATATAAATAACTTTTATATATTTAATGTTTTGTGGGATTACAATAAAATAGTCTTTGAGAAATCCAATGCTCTGAAAATCACGTAATGTGCTATATGCCATAATTTATCATTAATAAGCACAGCTTCATTCGTTTGTCATAAAGTGGCGCTGGACATTTGAAATTTCCCACCAATACGCTAATGTTACATTAAGTCATATATATACCTGAGCTATATTAGTAGTTTTATGTAGGATCTAAAATTAGGGAGGGAGCCGTGGTAGCTCAGATGGTTAGCGCTCGCTGTAAATTTCACAGTACGCGAGCAACCAGAGTTCGATCCCCGCCGGTACCAATGAAATTGTTAATTGCAATTTTAAGGGCTGATTTACTACGTGCTCGATGGTGAAGGAAAACATCGTGAGAAAACCTGCATGTCTGAGAAATAAGAAAAAAAAATTCGAAGACGTGAAGTTCGCGAACACGCATTGGGGCAGCTTGGCGGACATTTTTGCCCTAAAACCCTCTCAGAAATTTAGGGGAGGCCTGTACCCAGCAGTGGGACGTATATAGGCTGTAACTTTTAAAATGTCAAATTTTAATTATCACAATCTAATTAGGTCTCTACCTACCAATGAAATCTCCGTTTTGAACTGACTCATTTGAACTGTAATAGGTTTGACTTGGAATTTTCATTTCAATTATATCTTCCCGTGGGTGTTGTAAGAATCGGCAGAAGGAAATGAAGTACAATATTGGCAGCAGCATCTTCCTGATAACAATTTAAAAATAATAATAAACTGCGATTGCCAACCCGTCTGCTAAGCGTATAAAGCCGCGTCTCCACCAAAAATGTTGACAACATTTATGTTTCCAACTATTGACAAATCAACAAAAGTTGTCAACATTTGTTTCCGAAAATGTTTCAAAATGTTCCAAGAAGCGTCTCCACCGAGGGAACAAATGTTTGTAACAAGCGTATTCGATGTTGCCGCCGAAAATGGAAACACGATTCCCGACATTGTTTCAAGTTTTGTTGCTAAAACTAGGTGATTACAGATACATTTGTTGGCAACACGTGTTGGCAACTGTTGTGTTGGCAACAAAACTTTGGTGGAGACGCGTCATAACAACCGTGGCATAATATATCCCTTTATGAGTGTGCGTGTTGCCAGTGTTGTCGTACGGGACTGAGACATGGTCCTTCACTACTGGACATCTTAAGTTTAAGATCGCTTAGCGAGCTTTAAAGGGGGTAGGAACATATCCGCAGTAGAATCAGAGTAACCGCCATAGCTCAACGGATCAGTAAGCTGAAGTGGCAATGAACCGGCCATATATAGCTCATAGAATCGACAACCGATGGGGAAGAAGGGTCCTCGAGTTGTACCCTCGTACCGGTGAGTGTGGTGTAGGACGATCTCCCACTAAATGAAGGGACGATCTGGTAAGACGTACGGGAAGTCGATAACGCATGTGGGTAAGGACCGTGTTTTATGGCATTCCTTAACCGAGGTCTTTGTTCAACCGTTGACTTGTGAGAGGCTGTAATTATGATTGTAATGATTAATTTATTTTAACGTAATTTAATATAAAAGATTATCCTAATTATACATATGTATATTGTGATTATATTATTTAACTGATAATAATATTTTAGGGGTATTGTACAGTATTATATTCGCTGGAATATTATTACGGACCCCAGAGGTCAACATGCAACAGCGACGGACAAGTTTCAACACCGCGCTAGCCTATACTTTCACAGTAATACCGATACTGGTGTTCCAGGTAACTAACTATGTATGGCATGTAAATGTACGTATTAGTAATAATATTCGCCATACGTTCAAAAAACAAGACTATTCTAGTTTTGGTATCTAGATCAAGACATTTAAAGAATTAACTCTATTCAATGGTAACTTGTGTAGATTGTAGGTAGTTGAAAGCGCGTACTATATAATCAATATAAATTATTAAGGATAACTCAAAAACTACTGGTCACGCCTTGATCATATTTATGTGGGACCACATGGAAAGCACCAGCTTTAAAATAAAAACATTAATCAAAATCGGTTCACATAAAAAGGTTTAGAGGTAACATACATAAAAAATACAGTCGAATTGATTACCTCCTCCCTTTTGAAGTCAGTTTAAAAAGTAAAACATCACAGAAAAACATGCTTAAAGTATTATGTTGAAGGAAACCATGTTTAACATTTTATAGTACAAAACATGTTTCACAACAAGTTTTCGAAACCAAAAGATTCTGATACAAACCATAAAATATGTTAAAATGAAAGCGGGTTGAAATTTTTTAACTACTTATTGGCAATTAAAATCATAGGTAATAAATACTAAACATTACTTACTATTATTAGTTTCTGACTTAAAACATTTAATTTGATGTCGATGCTCTCCCGATCTGTTTTCCACTTCGGCGTCAACGAGCATTTAAATAAATAATAAATATACAAATCATCGTCGGATATCTTTATACTTGAAAGTATCTGTTTGCATTCAATATGTTTATCAACCTATTTGGACGACGAAGTAAGTTTGAAAACAAATTGCGAGACAGAACAAGCAATAGTACAAACGCTACGCTTGATAGATTCACTATACGTGTACATTATACACATATATTTATAAACACATATGTATTTTAAAAATCATCGATTTGCAACACCAGCTCTATATTCCGTTGCTGATATCGTAACAATTAGAAAACTGTATATTCTCCATACTGTAGTAAAAAAACACAAGTCATTAAAATTTGATCCGAGCATATTGCATAAAAGAAGACATAATAATGTGGCCACAGTTAAACTTACTCATACTCAGTTCGCAAGAAATCAATTTCAGTATTTGTCATCGTTATTATACAACCGCTCCAATCAAAATTTAAATCTATATCCAGTGACGAGCAGGGAATGTACAATTAATTTGACTGTTTGGCTTAAAAAACTACAATACACAGAAACTGAACTTCTTCTTAAATGATAAATTTATCTAGGTATTGGATATTTGGATTAAAAATCATACACATATACGCACACATCCATGCAATCACGCTCACACACACACACACACACACACACACACACACACACACACACACACACACACACACACACACACACACACACACACACACACACACACACACACACACACACACACACATACACTCACACATTGAACTAGATTTTTGTGACTACACGTAATTTATGATAAAGATAAGTTGTATTTGTTATCTAATTCTTCATTTATACTCGTAAATACCACAAATGCGATATGGAAGAGTGGCTCCTTCTGACACAGGTGCAAATGCACTTAAAAGAATGAGTCAACCTATGTTCTAGATTTAAAACAAACTTTGTTAAAGAAATAAACTTTTATTATTATTATTATTGTTATTGGTATATAATATGACATAATACCAGTCTAAACTGCAACAACAAAACATATATAAGTGACTTGTTTTATACGACAAGTTTCGAAACATTCCACGTTAAATATATTTCGATGCACAGTGAAAAGGCAATGCATACATTCACAAAAAATTGCTGGATATGATTTTGAAAAATATTGGTCTTTTCAATAATATTTCTTATTAAGGTAGAGGTAGGTATCTCCAGGTAAAAAGGATCGATTACAATTACACAAAATGTACGCAGATTTACGTTTCTTTTTTCATTACATAAATCAAGATATAAATTTCTCAGACTTACAAAAACGTACTGAAAGCTATAAAGTCATTGAATTATATGTACTAAGTACTAGAGGATCCATTCTAAACAAGAAATGTGCACTGCTCTATGTCTTCGCGCATGCGCGGAAGATAGTAAAGTTGCGCATGCGCAGTTGATATTAGCGCGTTACGCCTGCGTGGTCAGTTTTTAATTTAAACTTTAATTTGAAATCTTGTATTATTAGGGCCGCTCCACACTGCATGTATATTGAAATCACAGACTAACTAGTACATTGAAACCAAACTAAATTACACACTGTACGGATTGCAGTACAGTTCAGTTGAACATAGTGTTTGTTCGGAATGCGAAATCTAGTACGTAGTACATATATATCGATGTATAAAGTACATTTTTTTTAAAGTAAGGGTGAAAATTAAGCACACAGTCCACCTGATAGTGAAAGTGAATGCTGTGATCTGAGACCATAGACCTACATCTATCCTCGATCAAACGCAGATCTGTTGTCATCCCCGAGGAGTGAGATGAAATGCCTCGTTACCAATAAAAAGAATCTTCACATTATGATCACAGCAGCTATATGCTACTATTTCACGCTGGTAATCTGAGTGTGCGTGGTACTACCGCGGTCAGGCCGACCCACTCGTGCATCCCATAATACGCGTCAGCATATCTCCACCACCTACCAAATATACATATTGCAAATGCTTATTTGAATTTATTAAAACTTTTAAATATGTCCTTTATTAATGATTTATATCTTCTTTTTGATATTAGTTCGGTAACTTTGTTATTAATCGGCAGGTACTGCTTACGAACAAACTGGATGACGGGTTGGCTCTTACTTACATTGTGGTCGTAAGCCCACTCTTTGTAAGCTATGGTACTCTCATTATTATGTCGTTCAGCTCGAAAGGGGGAAATAAATGTAAGTATAACATTTTTGCTATAGGCTAATGTATACAATTTATTACATTGTTTTTGCAAAAAGTATAGCAACGATTGCCTCGTGGTTGTGGTGTAAGTAAATCATCACCCCATTTTGTCCCATGGGTATCATCATGGGAACCATGAACTTTTACGGGATGACGATAGCAGTGATAAAAAAAATCTCAAATCACTCGTAAGTCTCGTTTCTTACAATGGGTAAGAGGGTTTCAGAAGTAACAATATATTGTTAGATACAAAAGTCTTGCTTGTGTTATGGGTAAACATGTTTTATAATATCATACCTTTTATTTATTTTTTATTTTGCTTACAATAAATAGCCTTTTACATACATTAATTTACATACAAAGCAAGATACCGTAAGTCCGCCTGACAAACATGTGGTTGCGGAGATGTTTAGAGAGTATATTTTATTTTTAAATATATTGGAACTACATTACGCCTCGTAACCGCAGCACTTTCTGCGAGCACAGCTGCGTTTAAGCACATCCTCATATTGGGTAGGAAACCTGACACTGCAATAGCCATTATCTATTAAGCACCCGGACACGAAACTAACAATTATTGTATTTCAAATTTTTCCTTCAGTTGTTATTCAAACTTCTGACTAAACAGTTGAGCTACGTATAGGAAAAAATGGAGCTTTGCTTGATGTGCTTATTTAGACGAGACGGTTTGGAAAAATATATCTAAATTTCAACCCTCATATACAAATTAAATAGATGTGTCAGTATAACTTACGCCATATAATTATTGAAGCAAAAATTTAATTTCACAGACACATCTATTTATGTTTGTATCATATGTCATATGAATGTATGATTTTTATTTTTAGGGTGGTTTGGCATAAGGAAAGATTTCTGCCAGTTTCTTCTATCAGTTTTCCCGCTTTTACAAGAGTACGCTAACATTGCTTACAATAACAACGTCAATAGAGGCTCGAATGCCATGGCCAATGAGCCGCCAGTCAACCAAGAACCTTACCGGGACGAGGAAACTCACAAGAAAGTAAAAGAAAAGAAGTCACAGAAAAATCAAAAGAAAAACGAGACTATGAAACCAGTAGTGCCTGTGACTAGTATAGATATGCCGGATTGACGTTAAACAAAAGTGCTGAAATGTCGTGTGTTCACTTGTTATAAATACCCTTTGTAAAAATTAAGCTTCTAAGCGTTATGAAGCAATACATAACAAAATTGTTAAGTTTGTCTAGCACTAAGCTACAATATTCCACTTGTAGTTAAATAGGGGGATATTATTAGATATTAATGAAGAGTGACTATTTTTTATCGTTGTCAAGAAATCAAATCGTTTTATTTGTTATTGCTATACAATTGATACCTATAAGTGGTAATGTTTTTATTACATTTCTTAAATATCATCCTACATTGTTGTGCATAGTTGTTGATGTCTTGCAAGTTCACTTTTTGACTAAGTAATACTGTTTTCTACTGATTTTATAAGCGGGCATTTTCTCCCTTTCATTGTGAAAGAGGAAGCTCAACGAACATACAGCTCACCTGATACCTAAGTGATCATAGCCGCCCATGTACATCTGCAAAACTAGCGTTGCCGACCAAGACGAAAGGGGTAGGATTTTTTCTTGAAGGTCGATCCCGAAAAATCGCTGGCAACAGTAAATTCCACAGTGTGGTCGTGCAGAAAATTCCGCGTAAATCCCACGGAAATGAACCGACAACTGAGATGATGAGGATGGAATTTTGAGTTCTATTGCAGTATATGATGGTGGAATTCAGCAGTTGGAATTAATCTGAACAATTCTCTAAGCAATCCCCGTGGTATATGCGATAGAAAATGCACAGAGATGCAACATACCTTCGCAAGGCCAGATTGGAAATAACTTGGTCCGTACCGCTCTCCGTTGAATGGGATCAAATGGAAGGAGCTGGTACTGAGATGCCCCGGCTCAGAAATGAGAACCGTATTCAAGCAACCGTTTTAAGTAAAAGCAAGTTGTGGGCCGTCATGAAATACCATTTACCGTTACTGAGCACACCAAGTGTAGAAATTATCATTGGACGTTTGAAGCTGTAGGTTGATTGGCCTTGTTTTTACGATGAAGTTATAGGAATGGCCCTTTAATCCACCGGATCTTGACACCAAAATAAAACACCGGCTGCTCGTCTTATTTCTTTAATATAAGCGCACGGAAAAACGGAAATTACACACAAAATGTTTTCACAATGTTTTCACGCCATAGATTATTGATGCGTTTCATAGATAATGTCAAATTTATTTTTTCATTTCAACTTTTTTATCGGACTGGATACCCGTACATTAATCCACAATATTTAACATCCAAGTTTTTTAGATTTTAGATGCCAGTTTAAAGCCCTTCCAAGTGACTGCAGACTGTACGTCTCTCGAAATGTCAACGCTAAGGATACCGATAATAGGCAGCAGGGAGGAGTACCCTGAAATTAAGTAGATAAGACTAAGGGGTTCTTCTTGGTATTTGTACATAATAACGCGACGAGTCTTATTTTTGGAGGTTGAACTGGACTAAATTTAGTCGCCACCAGTCAGAGACGTTCTTTAACAAAGACTCGACCTTAGACACAAGTTTGTTCCGGCACAGGTGTTTGTCGTGTTCCCGAGAAATATACGGACTGCCAGTGTAAGCATCGCCAGTGCTGTCGTGTACATAACAATTTATGTTACTAGTTTGCAACACATTACTGATATGCAGAAGGAATAGGGTAGGCACTAGCACGTAGCCTTGTGGAACACCGGCATTCACCAGCTTGAAGTCATCGTTTATTTCGGCCTTAATGCTTCGATCTGCGAGAAAACTGTTGACTCAATTGCCTAATTTATCGAGAAGCCCATAAAAGAGAAACTGCGAAAGAAGCGCTTTGTGCTGAACCCGCTCGAAGGCCTCCGCATGTCCAAACTAACCGCCAGGGCATTATTAATATTATATCTAATATTGTGGCCCGTCTATTGCCACTACAACTTATGCATCGAATGAAATCTTCATTTCAACACCCATTATCACCTTTCAAAGGGAACCTGCATTAATGGGTGTTTCTATGGCAGGTGTTATAATATAGAAATACGAATAATAAAAATATAAAAGAAAAAAAAAGATTTAAAATACTTTACAACAGATAAACTCATGTGCATTACCCAAGTTCTTTCATATTTGAATTTGTTTTTTCAAATAAAAACACGTAAAATCTAGCTGACCTCAAACTGAAGTATAGTCTTGAGTAAAAAAATATCGAAATATCGATAATTTCTCACGACATTTTTCACTTGCCCATCCCTACTCAAGTAGGGGAGCAAAATCAGACCAGAAATACTATTATTTTTTCTTTGACAGTTTATTGTTGTGTTTTATAATTTTATTGCTAGCTCAGTCTTTTCAAAACAATTTCATTTGATTAGATTCTTACCATAGACCGCCAGATGGCCATCGACACTCAACAGTGTTTTTTTCCGCACGCTAAGCGTATCGCACAAAATTCTATTACTTTCATGTTTGAAAATTCATGTTTTTCTAAATTCTAAATATTGTTAAAAAAAAACACCAAAATATATGAATTATGCTAACCAACAGCAAACAAACTTTTTCTCTTTTCTCAACTGTATACTATCTATACTACTGGACGGGCTCTGCGGACTTAATACATTGCGCATTAAGTTACGGTCAATTCTCCTAACTCCTTTATCGGTTGCGAGCGGGCGAGAAGACTAGTTTGTTGACACTGATTTTGTTCAATGTTTGAATCACTTTTGTCAAACGTGATTTGAAGTTTATTTCAGATAAGTATGTAACTTTATTTCGTATTTGCATAAAAATTAAAAACATTAAGTGTCGTCAATGAAATCCGCGCCCGCGTCTGCGCGATCCACATTCCATCCAGCGATTTTGTTCTGGATTGCCAGTCTAATAGACTATATAGAAGAAGTCTTTTATATACATGCTTCATCTATTTTGGTGTTATCTTGCATATTATATCTTATAGTCACAAATATGCTACAGCATGGAATACTTATATTAATGTTTCGATTTCATGCACATTTTTTACGTATACATTGAGCTTTGATTAAAATAGGTTTCAAGTCGCCGATACCCAAAGTTATATTGTGATTATCTTTTATTTTTTTCTTAGTGCATTGTTATATTATCATTAAACTGTGTGAGTAATATTATAAACTTTCGTTTTGTACATGACCGTGATTGCTGCAGAGAATTAAAAAAAAAAATTAACAGTATTTTGAAATTTAATGATACTCCTATTTTTTACAAAAACAGTAAAAACCAGATGTTTTTGTAATTAAAAGGTAATTTAATGTAGTTTTTACTTTCTATTATAATTATAACATTCTAAATCAATTTGATAGTTTTAATGTTATAAGTTATAACTTACAAACCATTAGTCTAAGACGGTACTTTTTTTGTTGAAGGGGGTTTTGTTGTTATTATAACATTAACACTACTCATTTCTTACACGTGTAAATTTTTATAAATACTAAATAGTAAGACTTAAAATAAAAAGAAAACCGAAGTTTAACATGATGCGAACCAAATATAGCAAAAACATTCGATTTGTTGTGCGCGTCTGGGTGGTTTTATGAATATCCGTTATTAACGCATATTTCTACATAATATAATGTATCATATTTATTGAATCTCTTGTAAAATATTTACTGAAAATTGTAAATAAATAATTTTGTTATCAGTTAATTTGCTTTTTCCAACTAACTCTTTTTTTGTTTCGATTTGTTACTTTATCGTCGAATCGAATTAGATAAATGTTATAAAAAGAAATAGAAAATTGTGTCAAGATCAAACAATAACTTTATATGTATATGCGTCATAGTAAAATAAAGAGAAAACGCAAGTAGTTGCGCAAGCGCAAGGTCGCATTAAAGGTCTTTTACACTCAATAGCACTTTACGGTTTACGGCTATTTCGTCCCAACACGCGAAATGCAACGTTTATAGCATTAAACTTTAAATAGATAATTTTAAACAATTTCCGCAACTTTTGCCTAATAAATATAGCAAATGGTGTGGTTTATTTATTAACAAATATCTGATTATATCTTTTGTTTAAAATATATTTACATATAAAATTGTTTGCAAATCATATATTAATGCTGCTAATGAATAAATATATCGAGATGGTGCTTAACTTCGTCTTCGTATATACACTTCTAAATAAAATTTTATGTGAATTCTCTAACGTTACGGTAAAAATGTATAAATTACTGAACATATTATGTTTATGTATTTTTTCATTTATATTCTTGGATATTACGTGACAATCCGTAATAACAATGCATGCGGTGAAAATGTATAATAGGTATTTCTTGACACGAATAGGCACGGTCACACTAATTAACCAAATCATTTATAACCTTTCTCTAACAATAATTCAGTTATTGTATGTTCTAATTTAGAAATGATAAAACCATAATATTTTTAAGTAAAAATTAAAAATTGAAATTTTGCACACCAAGCCTAATGTCTTAAAGCCAATGTAGTAAGTATTTAAATAGTCAAATGAATTATGTAGTATTTTTAAATAAGTATGAAAAACGTTAGTCATTTACATGGTGTACATACGATGTTAACTTACAGCGTATTCGAATTGGTAATTAAAATGGATGAATCCCTAGTTACATCGTGTTTATGTTTGTAAAATTTGGTTTATAACATTTTAATTTGATTCATCAATTTATTTTTATTCTGTGTCATGACGTAGTATCATAATTGGTTAACATAAATAGTTAATAGAAGTCGCACAGCGGCAACGATCTTGCCTATCTGTCTGAGTTGCCGCCATATCCATAACAAGTGACTTATGAGTCTCCAGCGCGCGATTTTTTTTTCATTAGTGTCAGATAATTCGGTCTGTCGTCATTTTACAACTGCCCTTACTGTAAACGTTCTCCAAAAATTGAAGCGTTATAAAGAGCAATGTAATGTGAACTTGCGATTTTGTCGTGCTTGCAAATGTTACATGGTACGACCAATGTCTCGACAGGAATGAATGTGTGATAAAACTTCTGTTGACTATTTATTTAGATTTCTGTGGTGTCAAGCTTTAAAATTTTATGGGGTCGAATAAAAATAAGATCTCACAGGAAAAAAGTACCTATGTATAAAAGTATATATCAAGTTTAATGCGTTCTAATAAAATTGCGTACCTTTTAGTAGTTAAAGCAATCATATTTGTGATAAACCGTATTGATTCTAAAAAACTTCAAATTTTAGATAACATTCATAATAATAGGTGTTAGCTAAATTAATAAAGAGAAAGTCTATTACCGATGTTGGGTATTTGCGTGGATCCTACTTAATTTTTTTTGTTTTAATCACAGATATATATATATTTGTCTTAGAAAGTATTAAATTAAAAATTTTATTCGGAATATTTATGCGTCTGGCTTTTTAAAATGATTTTGTAGTCTCAGTTCAGTTAAATTTAAAAATCAAGATTAATTGTAGATCCGCATTGTTGACTAAATCAGTTGAATCTAATTAACAAAAAGTGTTTTTATTAATTTTATATCTGTATAATATCATATATTATCTACTTACAATTATGAAATACAACAATATCATGTAAGTGAAGTAACGTTTCATTAGAAACCTTTAAAAACTGTACAGGTATACCTAGTCAGGTCATAAATTCTGCCACATGTTTAATATAAAATAATTGAAACAAGTTTATTCATTATGTAACCATTTATATACCAAAATGAACTTAACAAAACATAGATTCTTATGACACTAAAGTTTATTCAAAATGACCTCCGTGATTTTGAATACAGGCCTTCAATCTGCGCGGCCAGTCGTCTATCGCAGCACGAACGAGGTCCATGTCAATATCGGCGGCTGCCTTAATCAAGGATGTCTTGAATGACTCCAAATTGGGATGAGGCTTTGAGCACGCCTTTTCCTCCAAGTGTTGTCATATCTTGTAATCTAACGGATTCAAATCTGGACTGGAGGAGGGCCATTCTTCGTGCCGGATGAAGTCGATTTCACGCGCCGCCAGCCAGTCTTGTGTGCTCTTCGCTCTATGAGCTGGCGTCGAATCTTGTTGGAATACCCAGTGCCTGTTATTAAACATGGTATGAGAAACAGGTTCCACAAGGTTCGTCAGGACTGTATTTTGATACACAACTGCATTCGTTTTTACACCTTTCTCACAAAAATGTACCTCTGTTAAGCCCCAATAAGAAACTCCCAACCATACCATGAGCGAGGATGGAAAATGACCTCGTTGGACTCGCGGAATACGGTTGCTCGCTTCTTCACTACTGTGTATGCGTACACCTTATTATTTTGTTTGTTGTAGCTCTATTCTACGGTAAAAATTTTTTCATCTAAAAAAAGAATTTCGCGATATTTTTTTCCCGCGTACCGCTTCAACAAAGCGCGGCATCTCTTCAGTCTCAGGTCCATTAGATGAGCATTCAAACGATGTCCTGTTTTTCTTCGATATGCCCGAAGCCCTAAGTCTTCATTTAACACCCTTTTCACCGTGGTTCTGCTTAACCCCATCTGAAGGGCCAACAGTTTCTGCTTACTTTGGGGATTTCTTTGAAATCGCGCCTTCACAGCTTTTATCACTGCTGGAGTCCTAACAGACCGAGGGCGACCACTTCTTGACCTGTCATCTACACTAGAGTCTTCATTGTATCGTTTGATGGTACGATAAACGAATATTTTGGTTATATTCAAATTTTTCAGTATGTCAAAAATTTGAATTAGCGCGTAACCGCAACGATGCAACGCAATAACTGCAACACGGTCTTCTTTAAGCGTCCACTCCATATTTAAAAATGAATAAAATTCTAAAAAGTATAGTTTTATTTTCATGAACAATTCGAAATTCGAATTCAATAAACTTTTTTGTGGCCAACATTCTAAAAGAAAAGTTTTTACTGTGTGACAATACTTATGACCTGACTAGGTAAATAATAAAAGCTAATAGATATAAATTGTATACTGTGATATTTTCTTCCTAAATGTCGCTTCGCAATATTGATTGAACAAGTAGCAAAATATTTGTTGATGTAGTATGGATTATTTATTCCATTTGTTTCGCGAAATAAAGTTTTGTGAAATAAAAAAAAAAACGTGTTTTATTTTTACTTTATCCAATAAGATGTCTTTGTATAGTTTTATTTTAAGAATAAGGGTAACAAACGAGCACACAGTCCACCTTATGGTAAGTGGTTGCTGTGACCCGTAGACATCCAATCTATCCTCAATAGAGCCAAAATGCAGATGCGTTGTCACCCGTGAGGACTAAGATGGAATGCCACTTTTCCAGTAAAAATGGTCTCCGGTTCTCTACACTCTCCATACGAAACACAGCAGTGTTAAGCTGCAATTTTACGCTGGTATTCTGTGAGAGCTTGGTCCTTCTCCGGTCGAGCCGACCCATTGGTGCTACAACTATACTATTAATATAGCTGCAGCATGGCTCTATCACGTAGATGATATCACTCCGGTCGTGTCGAACTGTCTCCGTTGAGACTGGCCGTAATATTATTATTAAATTATAATATAAACTATAATTTATAGATATAAAGGGCAAATCTGGTAGCAAGAGTTCTTTATCAGGAGTTCACTCTATCATTAGATTTAGAGACTGTCTTTCTGTTAATCTTATTGTTAAAAACTGCGGTTGGAATGACTTCGCAACCGCAATTTTTTATTGTTTTAGACTACCAAGCATGTAGTACGGAAAATACCTATCCTTTCATAGATTGCATAATTTATGAGGGAGGCTAATGTTCAGCAATGGACCTTTGTTATGTCGAAATAAATTAATGAAAAAAAAATTATAACCAAAATTAAGCAGGAATTGCATAAATTAATTCCTCCTTCTCCGATCCATCATCCACCAGATACTCGGATGGTCTACACTCCCTCTTTTCGACATACCTACCACGCATTCGAACCAAGTGGATTGCTACGTTGTTGAATATGCGTACAGCAAACGTGGAATAATTCTGCCCATCCGATCACAACAAGGTAAGAATGATTAGGATTTTGTAAAGCTAAGTCGGTGCGCTTTATAATCTTCGGCTGCATCACCACTTACCATGTGTGATAGTGTATTAAAGCACTATAGCAAGTTAGCAGCCTTACGACATAATGGTACCTACTCTTTACTTCATGTTGAATAATATGTCTTGAACAATAAATGAAAAAAAATCTTTAACTTTTTTGCAAATAAGAATTATTTTTCATATTAAAAAATCTTTTGATTTGAATTTTAATATGAAAAAGCTGAAAAACAGTCTTAATAAAACACTGAAATGCACGCATGCACTTATATTCTTTCTCCGACTGCTTCTAATCAATCAAAGACAATCAATGTAAACAATCGAAGCATTTTCTCCGCGTCTCTCACTTAGTCACAGTTTATAGTATCTATCTAAATATCTAAGGCTTGTCTTCGTCTAATATGAAATCACCTTCGTTCAGCAGTATAATGTTTCAACCTTTACTACAGAGACTAAAAAACGAACGGAAACAGCTTGGTTGAAACAAAGCGATATTTTCTTGAATGTCGTGTATTTTTATATCCATTAAAAATACCAATTAATTGATTAACTTATAGACCTTACTCAAGGTCGAGGTTAAACAGTAAAACTTTAATGACAGCAATTCATAGGTTGTCCTACAAGAACTTAGCGCGAACTTTGTATTGCCTTCGTGTACTGGCACCGATGTCCCCACACATCGATTTACCTCATACGATACTATGCAGTCTTCAGTCACTAACATGGCTCCTAGCAGTTGACATACTACCTAGAAATAGTTAATTATGTTTGTTTATTGTTAAGTAACCAAACATATTAAATTTAAATATGTCTTCTTTAAAAGTAAACAATAATAAATGGCTTAGCGGAGAAACCGCGGAGGAAAAACAACTTTTCAATCATTCTAGGGAAATGGAAATTGTTTGTTTTGCTATTACAAAAGTTATATCGGAATGTGATAACAAATGGAAAGACTCTGCTGGCGAAGATACCACATATTCCTTCGCGAATCGTAACTATATATTGGAATTAGTCAATTTACAGGTAAATAAACAAATAATGTGTCTCTATTTTTAGTATTTATCTTCAACTGATGATGTATTACTGTATAAGTAATTTGAGTTTAAACGTTAATATTCGAATCTACAGGGTTATTTTGTAATATACGGCCAAACTTGCAGAGAAGGTTCAGAATAAGTGATATAGACGAAGATGAAGAAAAATTAATTTAAAAAATCTCAGTCTGTCCTTTTTATCTTTTAAATTCAGAATGCGTTTAATTCATTATTTTAACTCATTGTCATTCATAATCTCACGCCTTCTATATATATATATATATACATTCGTAAAGAGTCGATCGGCCGGCAGAAACGTTGTGAATTGAGTAATAAATATATATCACATAAATCACATTTAAATCGGAATAATTTAAAAAAAAGTAGAATCCTTATTTACTCGTATTTTCAAAAACTACAAAATCGGTGTATCACTATTTATATATTTTTTTTTTTTTTTTTTTTTATAGGAGAGGGGGCAAACGATCATGCGGCTCACCTGATGGTAAGTGACTACCGCCGCCCATGAACAACCGCAACACCAGGGGAATTGCAGATGCGTTGCCGGCCTTTTAAAAAGGAGTAGGCTCTTTTCTTGAAGGTCCCTAAGTCGTATCATATTTGAGCTTAAGTAAAATAACCCCGTATAAAGAATAATGTTTCATTGTTGTTTCAATTCATAAACAAATTAAATTAACATGTCACAATAAACAATAAGTAATTCCAAGCCTAAAGTTTATATGTAGCACTTGCATTTTGGAGTTCTCCGTTAAATGTTATTTTGGTTGTTTTTTATAGGATAGGGTGACAAACGAGCACACAGTCCACCTGACGGTAAGTGATTGCTGTGACCAATAGACATCCACATCTATCCTCAATAAAGAATAAAAATGCAGATGCGTTGTCACCGGTGAGTTCTAAGATGGAATGCTTCTATTCCAGTAAAAAGAGTCTCTGGTTCTATACACTCACCACACGAAACACAGCAGTGTTAAGTTGCTATTTTACGCTGGTATTCTGTGAGAGCGTGGTCCTTCCTCGGTCGAACCGACCCATTCGTGCTACAACTAAAGCTGCAGCATAGCTCTACCACGTAAACCTACCTAACAAAAGTTAAGTCGTAGTGTACGTTGTACGCACTAGTGGGGTTATATAATAACATATATTATAATAATTATAAATTACAATTATAGCTTTTAATAAAAAGTAAAAACCGACTTCAAATTGCTAAAAAATAAGTAGAAAATAAATAGTTTGCCACCTTTAGGGGTGGAATTGTCTATTTAATTAAAAAAAAAGAATCATCAAAATTAGTTCTCAATCTGCGAATATATCGAGTAACGTACATACAAAAAAACTTATAATCGAATTGAGAACGTCATTCTTTTTGAAGTCTGTTAAAAGTGCGAAATTATCAAGGTTTCGAAATTCACTAGGGGTAGCGCTAGTAGCGCCCAAAACTACATTCAGGGCAAGTGAATCCTAATAGTATAATTTATAATTGCGATTGCTTCCACTTGGTGATACTCCTTTATTGAATATAAAATTACCACATGTACTTGTTCTGCTATAAATTTTATTTATTTAACACATAAAGCGACCGGTTAGTCTAGGCATAATTATATAATTACATATATCAGAATATACCGCAGTGCAGTAAGAATGATTTATACATCGATTATCTTGAATAAAGACAGTAATTTGTATATTAAACTTGTATTTTAGGTGCTAGAGCAAATTATTGAATACTTGTCGAAATTAGTGAAGTCATTTTATAAACTTAACCCTAAATTAGCAAGATTAAAAAAGGACAACGGTTTGATAGGAAGCAAACATGATCATATTTTTGATAAACTATGTAGCTGTAGATTCATCATGTTACAATCAATATACAATCTTATCGGGACAATATTGAACACTTGTCTCCATAGAGAAGATTCTCGAAAAACGCTGGAATCCTGTTTACGGTAAGAGTTTTCTAACGTTTTTTTTATTGGTATCTTATAGTAGGTACTCATAGATGCTGGGGCCCATAGACACGTACATCTATCCCTATGTTTTAAAGTGTAGTTACAGAATGCCTCTTTACCAGTAAAAGGGTTTCATGGTCTTTATAACTTACCATAGAGACACAAAAGTATTATGCTGCTATTTTGCACTGGTATACTATGAGAGCAACCAATTAAATTGTTTTGCATAGTCTTAATTTTTTGTTTTACTTCACAATGCAACGTAATAGAACTATCTGAATCACCATTATCATTACAGTTCTCAATTTAACTGCTGAAGATAAGCCTCCTGCAAGGGATGCCACAAAACACGGTCCTGAGCTCCAGTCTTACCAGGTCTCTACTGAATCTAGTGAGTAGCCGTCCTAGAGCTCCCACTTTCCATCGGTTGACGGTTTTTCGAGCTATATTGCCGGCTAGTGCAATTTCAGCTTACTTCGTCCGATCCTTTGGGCTATTTCAGCTATCTTCCGATCGGTTCTATCGTGGATACCTTCATTATGAATCTGAAATCTGAGTCTATCGATAGTCAACCTGCTTCCAAATTTCGAAGAATTTAAAGGCTTTCTCATAGACCACATACGCAAGAAATGTGGCAGAACTGTTCGGTCTTCTGTATAAAATATACTGTATAATATAAAGGAACAACAGCTTCTGAACGACTATGTTTCGGTTTTCCATCCGCTTTCAAATGCTCCGCTGAGTTCCATCCTCACTGGCGACCTTTGGTGCTAGAGCTCAAAATCTCAGGTGTCCTGGAATTAACGCTGCCACAGTCGCCCTTCGACTTCAACAGTTGGCTCCTCTTTACGACAGAAATAAAGCATTCATTATGCATGCATTTTCGAAAGCCAAAGACTAAAGCCTTGGTTTCGCTAAATCGTATCTTTAAAGCGAGCTGTATTGAAGTTGCGTATGTATATCCGTAAGCATTAAGAGATTTTTCTGTTCAGATCGCTGATGCCTGATCACTGTATCTGTTGAAGACTACAAATTCATTTCCCGTCTAACAGCTATGACATTAAGAGTGTGACCAGAGATTGCGATTTCTTCTACGACAGGTGTAACAGAACTTAGCTTCTACCGAATGGACAGTTGCCACGAGCTTGTCACTTATATCGTCCACTGTATTGCGATTTTGTTTTTTATTGGAGCTGAAAGTTTTCGAGGCTTTTTTATGGAATTAGGGTGACAAACGAGCATACAGTCTACCTGATGGTAAGTGGATGCTGTGGCACACAGTCTACCTGATAGACACCCACATTTACGAATCTATACAAATAAATAAAATTGAAGTGTCTGTTTGTAATGTCAAAATTACGGCTTTTTACTAAATGCATATGAAAGTATATATTATGATACTTATAACAAAAACACAATTTTAAAAATTTTTGTCTGTCTGTCGATCTGTCTGTCTGTATGTCTGTCTGTTTGTTCCGGCTAATCTCTGAAACGGCTGGACCGATTTTGACGGGACTTTGACTGGCAGATAGCTGATGCCATAAGGAGTAACTTAGGATACTTTTATTTATAGAAAAATAATTAGGGTTCTGCGCAAAAAAACTAAAACCCCAAATAACACGCGGACGAAGTCGCGAGGAACAGCTAGTCATTAAAATAAAATCAATCAATTTAAGAATCAATATGCAGATATATGGTCACTTTAATTTGAATTCTGTGAGAGCGTGGTCTTTCCCCAGTCGAGTCGACTCATTCATACAACCATAATATAGCCTCTTTATCTACTCATGTGATATAGCTGCAGCGTTAAGGGGAAGAAGCCTTGACTTCATTATACGTGACCCAAGCTTAACGTGAAGCTTGAGCTTAACGTTTAGCATTACAGCATTCGATAATCGCTTCCATAAAGCCGCGTATCCACCAAAAATGTTGACAACATTTATGTTTCCAACTGTTTACAACTCAACAAAAGTTACCAACATTTGTTTACGATGTTGCCCACAAATGTTTCCAACAAGTGTATTCCTTTGATGTTGCCGCCGAAAATAGAAACACGGTTCCCGACATTGTTTCAAGTTTTGTTGCCAACACTAGGTAATTACAGAAACATTTGTTACCAACACGTGTTGGCAACACAACAGTTGGTAACAAAACTTTGGTGGAGACGCGGCTTAAGGGGGTGTTTGCCATAGTTGCCGCGCTGCTTGGAGGATGCTGCCTTTGTTTCCCTCTGTCGCCTTTTACGACACTCACCGGATGTTACGGGGAAGTGGATATTCTTACGCCGCCATTACACGGTAAAGTACCTGTATGTTAAAGTTATATCATTCTTTGCAGGTTGATAGAAATTTATAATAACTTAATCGGGTTAAGCTACAAAAAGTTTACATCTAAATTCCATACATGCAGTAACACGTACCCTAATGCTATTAACGCTACGAAACCTATTACATTAACAAAAATTGTTCAGGTAGGTTACTTACAGTTCAAGATTTAATAAATTATTTGTGTGTTCATGCTATTACCACAGCCTAAGAAGAACATAAGTTATACTGTGCTATTACTATCGTGGTTATATTAATTATCTACGTTTTTCGTGCAGGTTCTTTCAAAAAGCCGCGCGGAAATCAATTGTCATAGATTAATAAACTGCTTAGTGAAAATGTACCAACCTGGTGACAATCCTGATAACGAATCAAGTACTAGTACGGCTGAAAGCTTAGAAATATATCAGTAAGTAACTTTAATATATATATTAATAACAGAGTCTGATGTCTCTTAACTTCATCGTACTAAGGCGAAAATCTAGAACTAAAAGTTGAACGCACTAAACTTTTAGTTTAGTTTGGAACAAGGCGGCTATTCAGTGGCAATTTTGAATTTGAATTCAAACCCCATAATGTCTCAATTTCAGACTTTTGGACATTGTTGAGTTTGACTGAATGTTTTGTGAACTTGAGATTGTCTTTTAATACCGCTGTTAGATATTCCCAACTTTTAAGTCTCAAAAACAATTTCATGTTAATTATGATTTTAAGTGCTGATTTAACACGTGCTCGGCAATGAGGCAACCGTCGTAAGGCAGTTGTATGACAGCTAAGTAAAATATTTCTAGGAAATGTTAAATCCATCAACTGGAGCAGCGCGTTGAATCAGTTGCTTCAAAAACCTCTCGGAAATGAAAGAAAGCTTTGCCCAGAAGTCGGACAGATATGGAATGTAAAAAACATTCTTGATAGGATGTCAGCCTTTCTTGACCTTTATCAGCCTTTTGTTTGCTACTGGATAGAGGCCATTTTAAGAACGCTATCCAGCAAAATTCGTCGGTTCTTAAGAATCCCAAAAGGAATCAATAGGTAGATACACTGCGGTACACCAGGAATTCTTTTTAGCTATTTTTTGGTTGCAAAATGTGGCGTTCTCCAGTAAAATACATCGCAATAATTGTGTGGAATGTTGGAACAACCGTTAATTGCACAAATAACAGATCCAGAACAATAGTTTAGGGACTGTACTGGACTGCTAGGATTCCCTTTACACTGATGAGCTCCAAATCTTGTGATTTGTTCTTTTTTTTATCATGGAACATGTTTCAGCTATCGATGGGTCTATGATTATTATTAATAATAAAAATATTATTAATATTTTTTATAAACCAATTATAATTTGACCGTAACAAAAAAATTAAAATAACAAAAAAATTTGAGGTAACTTACTCTTTACTTGGTAGAGCCATGTTGTCGCTATATTATAGTTGTAGCACGAATGGGTCGGCTCGATCCAGGGCCACGCTCTCACAGAATATCAATAGTGTATTGTGTAGTATCTATAGTGAGTGTAGAGAAAAGACGATTTGATCTTAGTCTTCAGGGGTGACAACGCATCTACATTTTGATTCTTAATCGAGGATAGATGGAGATGTCTATGGGCCACAGTGTCCACTTACCGTCAAGCCGTCAAGTGGACTGTGTGCTCGTATGTCACACTTATTCTATATATATATGTGTGTGTGTGTGTGTGTGTGTGTGTGTGTGTGTGTTTGTGTGTATTCTATATATATCTTTTAAATTCAAAATTCGTGGTAACGCACTATTTTAACTGATTTTACTGCGCACGCATTACGAATGTGTCGTAATGGTCGCTACCCATCCGAATACCCCCTTACGAATGTGTGCCTACGCAAAAACGTTGTGAATGAGGGCATCCACGACTTTTTCTGCCACCAGGGTGGCGCCACTTTGTAGTGAGGTCAATAATTTGACAGATTTCATAGCGGGGAAGATAATTTCTTAGAAAAATGTAAACGTTAATGTTTCTTTCTGTATTATTTGTTATATTTTATATTAATTAAATAAAAATAAATAAACCAAACTACAAATATAACTAAAAGTAAAAGAATAATATAAAAAAGGGGCATAAAGGCACAAAAAAATTAAAGATCAAATCACTGACGCATTGTGTTGTGTATTAATATAACACTCTAGAAACTGATAAACTATTATATAAAACTAATTTCTCAAGGGAGAGAAAACTTTACCTCAGTCATAGCTAGCGACATCTGATGAGTGGAAGACTAGTAGCCCTCGTTGAATCGCACACAGAGTATCGCGCGTACGAGTAGTTGTTGCCCATAAATCACATTCAATTTAGGATAGTTTCAAATAAAAGTAAAAGCCTTATTTACTCGTATTTGCAAAAACTGTAATAACGGTACATATAATTATTTATATATCTGAACTCAAGTTTAAAATTTGGCTACTCTTTGAAAAATAACCCTGTATGTGTGTGTGTGTGTGTGTGTGTGTGTGGTGGAGTGTGTGCTCTTGTGTCACCCTTATTCTATAAAAAAAAATACCGTTGACCTTACAGGCCATCCCTGAAACTTCCCACTAATTTCAAATGCAAAGCGCTCCAAAGTCCACATATTACGACTGTTAATAGTAATGTACTAATATATATATACTAACATACCATAAAATTAGACATCGATTTCTCTTGAACGAATGTACCGATTTGATGCGGTTTGCGGCAATTGATGTTGTTTTTTAAGTTTAAGTTAACTTCTCGATTATTTAAAAATCATTGATTTTCGTAGCGGGAAGTTAAAAACTAGATAAAGGTAGTTGGTCTTAAGAAAACTTTTGTGACACGTCATTTTAATTTTGAGCTGCAGTTTCTGAATATAAATTGTTCAGGTGGCAGAAAAATTGAGTAAACCCTCATCGCATACTGCAAGCACGCTTGCTGCGCCGCCAGCGTCGATTTCACTCTTCCTCTTAATTTGTCGCACTCGCAACCTTATCTAAATATACTTACAATTTTTTGCAGTACTTTGACAAAACATATTACACCGCCAACGTCGTCTACCTCTCGGCAAATGAGCATCGCGCAGAAACGGGAGGCTTTCGTCGAGAAAAAGAAAACTTTAATGAAACAAGCGCAGAGTTTAATAGAGAATAAAAATGGACATAGAAAGCTAAGCGATGTCCTGAGCCAGCATTCTGATGGTGACGTGCCTTACACTTCGCTTTTGGCAAATGAATGTGTTTTGGAATCTGTGTTTAAAAATGAAGGTACATTTTGTTCTTTTCTTAACAAGTCTCGTTATTAAAGAAAAATAATAATTTAATTATGGACAAATAATTTATTTATTTATTTTATTTATTTATTTAGGTATACAAAACAGCATAACATCAAAACATGAACAATTAAACATAATAAACGCAAAATTACAATCTGGATGGCATTCCAAAACATATGCACACAACATGATTATTAACAGAAACAGAAACAGAAACTTTTTTATTCAATATAGATTATAAATAATACTTATTTAAAGTCACTCTTTTGTTTAATTACCACTGGTTCGGAAAAAACCTCTGTCCTTCGAAAAACCAGCAAGAAATCCAGCGCGACTTTTTTTTTTAAATAACAGCTTACAATCATGTATGTTACACAAATTAACAACACAACAAATTAGAAATAGCTTGGTAGCGATCACCTCATTTCCAGGGGTTATTATCATCCATAAATTCCTTAATATTGTAATAACCCTTTTTATACAAACTTAGTTTAAAAAAAGTTTTTGAACTTTGTGCCGGTAAAATTTTGTATATTTTCTGGAATTATGTTGTAAAAGCGTATACATCGCCCCAAGAATGAATTACTGACTCGATGGAGTCGAGTAACTGGTACTACTAGCTTGTGTCTGTTCCTAGTATTTACAGAATGAATATCACTTATTTTTGTTGTTACGGCCCGCAGCTGCCCCTGCAAAGATAGCCTTGTCTGGGGCCCATAGCAGCCTCCTCGACGGACAGACGCGGGTCGGGCCCAAATGGCCATATGGAAAAATGTCCTATCATACTAAACTGTAGGGTGAAGGCTAGAAAAATATAGTACGTACCTGTATCCGAATCTAAGACCGCCCCAAGGCTCGGTCAGGCTGTAGGTGGGTGTAAGGTTCATGGAAAGTAGTGTTTAGTGATGTGTTTGTGTCTGAGACCTGGCCCAGCTGAGGTGACCGGCAGCGGCCGATTTCCATGCTACCCCACAATGCTGCATCACTCCAGCAGGCTTCCCCGCTGGACCATTTCTTTCTTCATGTCACTATATCAGTCTATTAACTCCATTGTACATTTAACTAACTTCAACTTGACCAATTCTACGTTCATCGTAGAATCGAACACGTGATACCCGACACAGTAACGGACAGTAGTTCAAAGTTCAACATTCAATGTCCCGGATTCACTTATCACCAAATTATAAATAGGGAACTAACGCGATCTCTTCATGAGTCACACGGTTCGGCGTTAAACACAACTAAGTTCCTCCGTTCGATACTAAAAACTACGCCGCGATAAGAATTCAAATTCCGCCTCGTTGACACGTAAAACGAACAAAACAGTCAACACACAAAGAGGGCACTTAACGCGATGGCACAATTACTTTCAAAGAAGTTACTTTAATCAGTCAAACACAATACAAGCCTCTTGTCAAGAACTTAAACCCTAGACAACCTAAAACGAGGCGGTTTTCACGAAACACAGTTACGTATCGAAGTCACGCGCTCAAAATCCAAAATTCTAGACCCTAATCCAAAAAAATCGGTCTCGAGAAACCTCAGCGGCGGGCATCGAAAAACACTAATTAACTGCCCAACCGCCGTCGAGCTACTTCTTTGCGCACTCGCGTTCTGCGCCCACGCCCTCTGCCGAGCGACGCACACGGGAGTGGGGCAAGGGTGACCTTTACAAAGTCAGCGGGCGGACACGAGTGGAATGCAAATTTCAAATGTTAATTGTTTGGCCTAAACATTTGTAAAACTACTTTTATTTTTGTGTGTGTACATTACATTTTCATAAATGTATTGAGAGGCCAAAGTTGATATATTAATTTCCTTAAATTTTTGTCGCAGCGACTCATAAATTGCTCTTATGGCCTTCTTCTGTAAAACAAATATAATTTCAGTGTCAGCTGCGTGTCCCCATAGCAAAATACCATACGACATTATGCTTTGGAAATTATTAATTGTCTACAGTGGTAGAGCCACGCGGCAGCTTTTGCTGTCGCACGGATGGGCCGGCTCGAACCGGGGTAGTACCACGACCTCACAGAAAACCAGCGTGAAAGGTTTACCTCTGCGTTTCGCTTGATGAGTGCAGGTGGCCGGAGGCCCTTTTTACTGGAAATGAGGCATTCCATCTTAGTCCTCACGGGTGACAACGCATCTACATTTTGATTTGTAACAGAGGATAGATGTAGATGTCTATGGGCCGCAGCAACCACTTACCATCAGGTGGACTGTGTGCTTGTTCGTCACCCTTATCCTATAAAAAAAATTATATAACAAATCATATATTATATTATGTTCATATATAAAAATTACGTGTCACGTTGTTTGTCCGCGATGAACTCCGAAACCACTCACCCGAAATTTGCACACTCTGTGCAGTTTGGTTCAACTTGAGAGATAGGATAGTTTTTATCCCGATAAGTGACCTTCAATTTTTTTATTGCAAATTTAAGGATTTTTACATTACAAAGATTCGCCGCTAAGGGCAGAGCAACGTCTGCTGGCCAGCTAGTAATTTTATAATATACACTGTTAAATTAAATTATGAAACTTACTAATGTTCCCGTCACGTCTCACGTAGTGTTCAGTAACTTACATTCAGCACAACTATACAATACGCAATTTTCCATTTTGTTATTATCATTCATCAGTTGTTATTATCATATGTATCTACTACTCGCTTAATGTCGACACTTACGGCACGGTCTCCGTAGGACCGTATGGGGCCGACTGAAAATCAGCGTCGCTATCCCGCGGCTTATGCTGAGGCGGTCCCTTCCGCCACTTCATCTGTTTCGATTATTAAGTCATGAATTGTTGTTATATCCTCTATTTTTTTTTGTTTATTCATTTTCTTGTGTTTTAATTTTTTTATTATTTTATTCTTATTCGTATTAATTTTGTTTATTAATTTGTCATTGTAATATGAAGTGTCGGAATAAATGTCTTTATGTCTTTATGAAATAGCTAAAGTAAACTAGTCTAGCTGTTTCAACACTGGTTAGACTTCTAATCTTTTTTATAGCATAATATGCTGCAGAATTAAATCTGCTTGCTAGTTTTGATATATGGGGGCTCCATTGAAGCTTCGCGTATAGTGTGATTCCAAGAAAAATGGTGCTCAGTTTCTCCCCATTTAAAATTATTAGGTAACAGTAACGAGTTTACAGCACAAATCCTTATAATCTTACTTATAAACGTACATATATACTTATACTTATAACCTTATACTTATAAACATATATACTTATACTTATAAACTTAAGTTGTGGAAAATTTAAAAAAATTAATTCTTTATTAAAATATTGCCTACTGACAAAGTATATCTAATACAGATTTTTTGAAATTGTTTACTTTGTTATTAAATATATCGATATTTTTACTATTATTAATCAATAAGTCATTGTAAAGGCGACACATTTTTACTAGAGGATTATAATAGGACGTATTATTTCTATAAACTTGCAAAACAAAAGTGTTTAGGAAAGTACAAATAATATTTGAAGAACAAAATTTTCAATTTGAACGTATTATGTAGTTCCTTTAGTTTTATATCAAACATATTTATTTTTAAGTATACAGGTTTTCAAGCCTTGCTGTACTCTGGAGAATATCGTGTAAAATATGTCTCAAAATTGCACTTTAAAGCACTTAAAATTGCAATTAACTAATACTTATACAAAAAAAATATCCCTTTGTTGTTGCGTTGTTGCGTTTGTTACAATGAAGTTTTAGACGCTAGCCTCTCCAGGTACCCTACTAAACACACAGACTTTTATCAATTTGCGAAAAATGTGACGTTATCAATTACTTAACAAAACTACTAACAAAGACTTGGACATAATTTGGACATACCTAATACGTATTTGCTACGTATATTTTTGTCGTTGTTGCAACCAAACAGATTTGACGCTGACGTGATGTGGAGTTTGCAAAAAAAATGTACATTAATATTAACAGCAAATTAAGAGCTATTACGTTTCATTATCTGCTATCGTTTCACTACATTTTTTTTTTTGCAGATAACGTCAACAGTATACTGCAAAGCGAAGAGTTATACATTGAGATTTTGCTGGATACCGTCGCAAATATTGCCCCTCTGTTGCTAGGACCGAACGGTGTCAAAAAGCTTAAAACAGGTAGGTAATAAATTCTAGTGCCACGGTGAATCCTCCACTAACATGAATGTTAAATCCGTCTGTATGAATCTTAAATCTTATTTACATTTCTCCGATCTCTCGTCTCGCAAACATTTCACGCTGACATTAACATTTTTGCAGAGCTTTTATTTGCATAACAATGTTAGAGCTCGAAAAAATCCGAGAATGAACGAAATGGTGGGATACGTTTTGTTTATAAAATCTAGTTTTGATTCTGCTATAAGAACAATAACCAAATATGTGTAGCAAAAATACAAATATTATGATTTAGGTGTGCCTTCGTTTATTAGCCAATAATACAATCGATCTTATACATAATGATTATACTTGATATGGACAGACTACATGATTAAGACAACTAAAAAAAAATTCTTATGACAAACGCGCACACAGTCCACTTGATGGTAAGTGGATGCTATGACCCATAGACATCTACATCTATCGCGCGTTGTCACTCCTGAAGACTAAGATGAAATGCCTCATTTCTAGTAAAAGAGTCTCCGGTTCTCCACACTCACCATACGAAACATACCAGCATTATTCTGCTGTTTCACGCCAGTATTCTATGAGAGCGTGGTCCTTCCCCAGTCGAACCGACCCATTCGTGCTAGAACAATAAAATAGCTGCAGCGTGGCTCAACCGCGTAAAATCTCTTCGCTTGTCAAGCGGATTGGTAAGTATGATACGAAGATAGTCGATGGATGCAGGTGGATCAGGACCGTGCTTTGTGGCAATTTATCGGAGACGTCTATGTTCAGCAGTTGACTATTGATGGGCTGTTGTGATTGTGATAGTGATTCATTCATCAGCCGACAGTCCTCTTTTTAGGACGAATACAGGTCAGCAAGAAAGCAGCTCACAAAGTGACCGAATACTATCAGAATACATTGTGGCAGGATGTCGGAAGTTGTCTGGAGCACATCGTCCTCTGGTGGTCTGCGTTCCCTTTAGGCACTAGGTAAGTGAAACGGAAAGACACAACATCTTTTAGTCGTTCTATAACAATCCGCCATAATGTGATATGAATCATAACCAAATATATATTACGGCGATTAAGACATTCATCCCAAAAAGACGTTTAAATGCATATTTAATTTCACATACAATTTACATTAATCTATAACATACAATAAATCTGAACATAATAAAATTCAGAGAAGAATAAAAATACCCTGCAAAAAATAAAATAAAACTTAATTATATGGAAAAACTTACATATAGCCAAAGAGATTTAAAATATATACTACTACTACTTAAATGTCTTTGCATATGGCAATACATGCTGCGCAGGCGGCAACAATACAGCCACACGCAAAAATACCGTCGCCACCGACAATTTTGACAGATAATAAAAATATACTGAATTTTAAGCAAAACTATTATTATATTTTAGGGAAAAAAATTGCAGTAAAATACCTACATACGTACTTTTTTTTTATATAACAATAATCAATAACATAACCGTGTAGTGGCGGTGTAAGAATATCGACTACCCTCTATCAGCATCTTCCTGATAACAACTAAAAATAATTTAAAAAAAACTGCTCTTTCGCGTTTCAAGCATGGTAACTATGGCAAAATATCCTATAAAAGGCCAATGTTCAGCAGTGAACTTTTATAGGCTGCTTCCATCCATCCATTATTGAATTCATTTTATATTGGTTAGCTAATAATATTGATATTTACATTTTTTGGTAAATAGACAGACTATTTTTATTTATTTGTATAGATAAATAAAATTGAATTGTCTGTTTGTAATGTTAAAATAACAGATTTTTATTAAATTCATATGAAAGTATGTACGGTACTTATAAATTTTTTTTTTATAATTTTGTCTGTCTGTTCCGGCTAATCTCCGAAACGGTCCAGATTTTGACGGGACTTTGGTCATAGAATAAATAATAGCTTTGGTTAACTTAGGCTACTTTTATTTAAGAAAAATAATTAGAGATCCGCGCAAAAAAATTTAACCCTATGCAATCATGGAACATCCAGTATATTATAAATGCAACTTTAGTATCATTTATATCGTTAAAAATTTATTAAATACCAACTAGATAACTCAACACGATTAGTTAGTATTTTTTTTTTTTGCTTTTTTACGTGCTATTTATAAAGTAATTGTACTACTCACAAACCCACTGCTCGGTAAATTATTTTCAGATCGCCGAACACTAGTCAAAATCTACGGCAGTGGCTGTTTACAACATTTAATGTAAATAGTAAGTAAAAAAGATTGTATTGGTAAAAAAAAAAACTATTATAATGCTATTTATAAACCACAGAATCATAACGCAACTGAAACCAAGGTCAATACGGCTCCACTTACTCAAAATACATACAATACACACGTAGCCTCTAGCAGCACATAATACCGTTGTCGTTGTAACGAAAAAAGAAAAGGTTTTGTGTAAATGTAGTGTTAATCGTGTTTGACGTTTAGTTTTGATAAATTATGTAAATGTGTTAATAACAATTACAAGCCATTACACTTTGCTTTACTTTTTCCGACTTCTGATTCTAATTAACTCTACAAGTAGAGTCACGCCTGCTCATTGACCCACACACACAAATCTGCACACTAAGGCCGGCCACATACATACGGAATTCCGTTTCGAGATTCCGTTTCGATATTCCGATTCGGAATCCCGAACGCAGCAAGTCTATATAAAATCTATGACCCGCCACACACGTACGGTAGTTTTCCGTTCGATATTTTGCGGGCAAAACGGGATTCCGCTTGTGTGTGGCCGACCGTTCGAAATTCCGAAACGGAATCTCGAAACGGAATTCCGTATGTATGTGGTCGGCCTTAGGCCGGCCACATACATACGGAATTCCGTTTCGAGATTCCGTTTCGATATTCCGATTCGGGATTCCGAACGCAGCAAGTCCATATAAAATCTATGACCCGCCACACACGTACGTTATTTTTCCGTACGGAATTTCTCCGATTCGAGATTCCGTATGACCGCCTGTGCATTCGGGATCCCGAACGGAAAAAAGCCGCTCCGAACGCACGTCTTCCATAGATTTTGTACGAGTCGCAACACACAATACGTAAATTCCGTACGGAATGCGCTCAGTGTTCGTCGCACGACCGAAGCGAGTAGGTGTATTTATGTATGTTTTTACATTTAATCTTGTAGGTGTATAGCTTTTCGTAACCTTTCATCTTATTTTATTTAATAATTCGTCGATAGAATTTACATACATAAATATTTAAAAAATATCTCTGGATATATAGATCTTTTTACATAGTATTGACTATATTGCAAGCTTAGGGTGATAAGGGGATGCACCTAGTAAGAATGATACAGCAACAATGGAATTTGCAATTAGAAAATTGTCGTCATTATTCGCTGGCAGAATGTCTAGACTCAATGGCTAACGTCTCTCAACTGACCCTTGTTATTCCGAACGGAAAAAAAACGTGTGTGTGTGATGTATTCACGGAATCCCGATTCGGGATTCCGAAACGGAATCTCGAAACGGAATTCCGCATGTATGTGGCCGGCCTTAGGCCCGCCACATACATACGGAATTCCGTTTCGTGATTCCGTTTCGATATTCCGATTCGAAATTCCGAACGCAGCAAGTCCATATGAAATCTATGACCCGTCACACACGTACGGTAGATTTCCGTTCGAAATTTTGCGGGCGAAACGGGATTCCGTATGTGTGTGGCCGACCCATTCGGAATTCCGAAACGGAATCCCGAAACGGAATTCCGTATGTATGTGGCGGGCCTTCATAATCTATCAATTAACTAACTACAACCTGCTTCGTCATATGCCGCTTTACTTAAATACTTACATATTCCTTTACTCCTGTATTGTCCCAGGCCATTTTGCCAGTCCTTACTTACATTTTAATTAAAAAAATCTAGATGTTTTTAAATAAAATTTTCTTACCCAGTAAAAAATCAAATGCATCCGATCTTTCCCTTATATTGAGTAATTCCATCTTATGCCATAACAAAATTTGAGAACCAGAAAATTACAATTTCTTTATATCACGGATAAGATCGGATGCCAAGAAACAAAAAAAAAGAAAATTGTTTGGAACATTTATTTTTTTAGTAATTTCATCATATTGAAATATGTTTTTAGCGTTAAGGATAGGACACATTCCTTTATTAACTATGTTCTCTAAGCAGTAGAAGTGGCTTTAAATGTAAGTCCGGTCTTGCCCATTGATGGCAAATTCTTCATCATACTTTAAAAAAAACTATGTCTTGTCTTCACACACGTTTAAAGCAGAAACCATTGAGTTTACAAAAGCAAAAGATTCTCATAGTTAACCTACGTTTAACCATTAACGATTTGCGCCATGTTCCAGAAATCTGACTTAAGGTGCCTGCGGGTAATAAGGCCTGTCGGCTAATAAGGCCTAAGTAACAAAAATCGTATTTATAATAACCGCACTCGCTTAAGGAGATAATAACAGACTCCTATTCCACAATAATGTCTCTACAAGTTTGCAGAGACGAGCTACCCCGCCTCTTGCCACCAGAGTTGCATTATCTTTCATAAGATACGACCGCACTGCACCAATAATAAAAATCAGTCGAAATAAATCGTAGGTATGTTTTGTAATATTTTTTATAGGATAGGGTGACAAACGAGCACAGCCCACCTGATGTTAAGTGGTTGCTGTGACCCATAGCCATCTACATCTATCCTCAATAAAGAATCAAACTGCAAATGGGTTGTCATCCGTGAGGACTAAGATGGAATGCCCCTTTTCCAGTAAAAAGGGTCTCCGGTTCTCTACACTCACCATACGAAACACAGCAGTAATAAGCTACTATTTTACACTGGTATTTTGTGAGAACGTGGTCCTTCTCCGGTCGAGCTGACCCATTCGTGCTACAACTATACTTCTAATATAGCTGCGGCATGGCTCTACCACGTATAAGCTATCACTACACTTAGCTATTTAAAATCGTAATTTTTATCTTTACGAATAAATGCTTTTTTGATCTTGAAGATTTGAGTAACATATCGTGGTCATTGTTTTTTTATTCGGTTTCTCTTAAATACTTGGTCGGCAGTTATTAAGGCCTACTAAATTTCATCATAGGCCTTATTATACTCCTTTTTTGTTTTATTATGAATTTTGTCAGAAATAGGCCTAGTTTTAGCTGTCCAAACAGTGCAAAGACAAAGTGTGTCTAAGAATTCAGACTTTGACATTAGAAGCTATTAAATTATGTGTAAATTATTGATCCTGCGCTTAAGCTCTCTCAGACCGTGCCGAATTGCGATTTGATGATTGTGAGGGAATAGATAGTGCACCTGTGCTTGCGCATACATTCGGATACTATAATTCTGTACTGTGGTGATGGGCTAGTCTCCGTTGAGACTGGCCGCTATGACAGAAATTTGGTTGGGAGGACACTCAACCCAACAATAAACCCAATTCTCAACTCAACCTAACACTCTACACAACTGAAGCATAGGTGATAATCACGAAGAGTGAGTTTGTTAGTTTGTTCATCATTATATTAATGACTAAGTATTTAATAAGTAATTTATACGAGATTTTAAGTCTTAATTGCTGCATTCATGTGATTATTGGTCATAAATATTAAATATATTATGTATAAATTGATTATTTGAGTTCGTTATAGTAGTAGGCCTGCTAGGTCTTATTACCCTACCATAGTAAAATAAGGCCTACTAGCAAAATTAATGTTTAATTTTGTTTTTCTTTATAGCAAATGTAACAATTATTCGTACATACTTTATACAGACTGTATTAATCTAATGATTTTTATTAAAATCTGTAATCCAAATTAGATATTTCTGATTTTATTTTCGATTTTCCCTTAGTTTGGCCTTCTTACCCGCAGGTACCTTATAAGGATGTCGAGAAAATAAATTTCTTCAGCTAGTCGAAAATCCGTCCGGTATTACCCCAACGCACCTTATGTTTTTGTATGTGTGGTGTTTATAATTATATACATTTTAAGAAAAAATTCACCTTTAAGAGTGGGAAAAATAATTAAACTTTAATAACAATCCTTTAGGATATTTTGTTTTTGAAGTCGGTTTTACTTTTTTTCGAAAAGTTCATTTATACTTATTCAAGGTTACAAAATATTTTGACTGGGCTACAATGAATTGATTATTTCTTAATAAACGAATTTGCGGAGTGGTTTCCGCCGGCAAACGATTACCAACAGATTTACACGACTGTGCTGAAATTCTATTTGAAGCGTGGTTAATAATTAATTGTATATGTTGATATTGTCAGAGACTAATATGATTTCATAAGTCTCTATTTGCGGTTTTTTAGTCCTTTTCATGGTTCATTAGAATTATGATCATTTTTACAATAGCTTTTTTTTACACATGGGTGGTGACAAACTAGCACCTAATAGTAAGTCAGTATTGTGGCCCATAGGTACCTACTTCTATCTTCTTTATCATCATCAGCCCGTCATCATCATCCACTAGAATAGAATAGAATTATTTTAATTCAATACTAGCGATTTGTATCGGCTTCGCACGGCGCCACCTACCGCATCCAATTGTGAATCTTAAACTATCCAGGGAACCATTTAAATACACACAAAATATTTCATCAAAATCGGTCGAGTCAGTTTCCAGTTTTAGCGAGACTAACGGACAGCAATTGATTTTTATTTATAGAGATAGATTACATGTAATTCTTATCGAAAGACATTTTTTTACTTCACCACTGGTAAAAACCTGTCCTGGAAAGGACCGTCAAGAAACCCAGCGGGTTACGTAGCACTGGTTGTCACGCTTAGCAGATCCGTTAACAATCACCTGTCATTTTACACCTTTGACTATGACGCGGCTTTCCGTCGCCGGTACGGGTATTTCCACTTGACGTAAATGAGATGGCTATATTGCATGACGTCACCATCATATTTGATAACCAGTAGATATTTTAGTATACTTTATAGGCGCCTCTTCCGATACGCACGAACGAATGATATCCAGTTTTCGTCACTCATACGAAACAGCAGTAGCATTGAGCTGCTACTTTACGATGGTATTCTGTCAGATCGTGGTCCTTTGCCGGTTGAGCGGCCTTATTCGTGATGCTGTTGTAATACGCTTGCAGCGTGGCGCTACTATGTACAAAACCTCTCCCAAGCCATAAGATATTTCTAACATTTCTTAAAGTTCCCTCCCGTAATCCGTAAAAGGCTTCGATAAACGTTGTTTTCGTCATTTATCGAAGGTCATTAAATTTTGATGGCTTTTGGTCATATCTCATAGTTGCTTCTTATGATAACCATAAGATGATAATAGGATGCATCAGCATTATCTTGCGCTTTTGTTTTACTTTCTAAGTTTATCTTGATGGGGTCTCATTCCTGAGATATTTTTTATTTCTAAAGACAAACAAAGCTCGGTTACCCAGGTAGTAAAGATATTTTTATACAGAATTTATTATCTCGTTTGTTATTATCTTTAATAACAAACGAGCACACAGTGCACCTGATGAAGGACAAGCTGAGGCCCATAAACATCTACATATACCCTCGATTAATAGATGCGTTGTCACCCCTGAGAACTAAAATTGAAATCCTCGTTATCAGTAAAAAGGATTTCGGTTCTATACACTCACCATACGAAACACAGTAGCGTTAAGCTGCTATTTTATGCTGGTATTCTGTGAGAGCGTGGTCCTTCCCGGTACAGTCGACCCATTCGTGCTACAACTAAGTATAAAAATATAAGGATAATGATTTATAACTGTAGGTTCAATTTTTGTATTTACTTTCGTGTAAAACTTAGTTTGAATGTACGTACTCGTTCTGTGTATTATCTCTATAAAAACAATCAATTGTTTTCCGTTAGTCTCGCTAAAACCTAAAAAAAAGCTCAACCAATTTTGATGAAATTTTTTGTGTGTGTTTGAATGGGTCCTTAAATGGTTTAGATTCACATTTGGACTCGTTAGGTGGCGCTGTTGTCGAGATCTAGAAATCACCCGTGCGAAGCCCGGGCGGATAGCTAGTAATATTACAAACATTTAGTACACAATAAATGTAAAAATTTCAGATACACCGGAATTAATACTATCCGCACTAAGAGTATTAGCAGACGCATTAGGGTGTCACGTGACTTCAACATCGTGGGATAAACATTTTGGGTAACATTTTTTTACTTCATTTTATTTTACGTGAAGCAAATCACGTGTTACCGTTAGTAGGCACAACATTTGTGACCAGTTTTTGGTAAAAATTGCTCTCTTTCATGGCCTCCGATAGACTTCGAATCTCCCTTCCATTGTAGGGAGGATTTGCCTTAGTCGTCGCGCTTGGCAGGCGGTAGACGTTTCCACAGAGTACCTTTATATTAGGTCCTTACATATAAAATTAGCGTTTTGTCGTACTGACCAATTTGATCTGAAATATCTCCTCCTAAACAACCGAGATTGGTGAATCGCTCTAGGCCACTGCTGCTTCTCGACAACGCAAGACCACACACTGCACAACAAACAACCAATTGGAATATCTACGACATCCACCGTACTCCCCGGACCTTGCTCCAAGAGAATACCATTTTATCCAAGAAAAAAAAATTCTACTCCGATGCGGCAGTCCAAACCACCTTCAAAGAGTTTATTGATTGTCGCCCCCATGATTTTTTTAGTAAAGGGATCAATGAACTACCTATGAGATGGCAAATGTGCATAGATAACAACGGTGCATACTTTGATTAATTAAATATATTTTACAAAAAGAATTGACTTTATATTCGTCCCGTACAAAACGCCAATTTCATGTGTAAGGACCTAATATATTCCACAAATTCAAATAAAATCTTATGACTCGTCACACACGTAAGATAGTTTTCAGTTCCATTGCGGGCAAAACGAGTTTTTCTTTAATTCCGTGTGTGTGTGGCCGACCCGTTCGGAATTCCGAAACGGAACCTCGAAACGGAATTTCGTATGTATGTGGCCGGCCTAACGCTGTTTCCTGTCGCGGATCGAGATATTTTACGCTTGGCGTTGACATTATGGTTATAACGCTTTAAATCGGAAACCTAACAAGATCTTTTTGACCACCCATAGTCGCCTCTTTCGACACGCATGGAACGAAATAAGTTGGATTCTCTTACGCCGCCACCACACGGCTGTAGCACCTTTACACTATCGTATAACAAAAGAAAATTATTACTTTTTAACGAAAGATTGTAACAGAATATATTCTTTATTGTTCCAGAGCAACTTTGGCGACTAATTTAAAAACAACATCTTTAAAAGTATATCCAGAATTGTCAGTATTTATAACCGAAGTAAGTAACTTTGTATTCTTAAAAGCGCTTTAATTCTTTGGCATTTTTTCCAAAGTATGTTTTATTTAATAATTTAAATAAGATTTTTGGCTTGGATGCTTGTCCTTTAAGCCATGTCTTCATTTATCTCAGTATCAAGTGATAATAATCCTATATAGTACACTGCTTCACAATATGTTGATACATCACACACACATTTTTGGGAGATTTTGACGGCAATTTGAGCCAGCAGACAGTTGGCGATAACATCTCAAGGCGCCTAAATCTTTCGAGATTCACATCACTATCGGAGCACTTATTTCAACGTTTCCTAATAGTAACGTTTACTAATAGTTCACATGCGCAGACATTTAATACACAAAATTGCACCACTTTTACACATCAATTTATACAATACAAACACCTAAATTATTTAAACAATAATACCGGAGCAGCAATCCACCGCCGGTCAAGTTCCCGCCAAAACTTTTTTCGAAGTATGTTCGCGGTTCTCAAATAGATTGTCTATTTGAGTACTTCGAATAAATCAAGGAATAACCCTTCAAATTCTCCAAGAATAATAAAATAACGTTGATGTTGCTAACATTGATATTCCTAATCACTGACAGTCCTAGCCACTTTCGGTTTATTGATTGTTACCGTTACCTATACAGCCTTTCAAAAGTCCATTGCTGTACATAGGCCTCCGCCATAGATTTATTATTATTAGTAGGACGCTGCTGCATATCTCCTGGTTTGTTTCTCTATGGCGCCTTTTAAGTCACCCACGGCATGATATGGGGTAGTGGATACATATATTTACGCCGTTGCTACACAATAACACAGCAAAGCGATACCAAAACGTGTAATTACGTGAAAAGTTTAATAAGCATTGCATAGACAATATCCGGTGAAGTGTTAGTTCGTTTGTTGTTGTCGAATTCTAATGTTAAAAAAACAGGTGTTGGTTACCTCTTTTCATTCCTCACTCACCATTTGGTGGCAAATTGTAAATAACTTTTTGCGTTTACATATTTTCAGAGCACAGAGTCAGGGGCGAATTTCGCATTAATGCTGCAAGACCTGGTCACTCTTAACAATCAGTGTGAGGTGACCTGGGACTACATATTAGGTGCTCCTATAGAAGATTTACCTATCGTAGAACAAATACCAATTTTGCATAGACTTGGTATGTATTTTAGGTGGTCTAATTTCAATTTCATAATGGCCCAATAAATTTAGTGTTATGTACTATGCTTGACTCGCGGGTTAGCAACCTCTGTTTTTTATAATTGTGAGTTGTTATCAGGAAGATGCTGCTGCCCATCTCCTGGTTTGTTTCCCTCCGTCGCCTCTTACGACACCCATGGGACGATATGGGGAAGTGGATGTTCTTACACCGCCACTACACGGTCAATGTAAAGGAAACATTATTCGAGAAGCTATGTAGAAAATCCGATCAAATTTTAAATTCTTTCGTCAATTTCTGATTTTTGAATATTAATTATTGATTAATATTCAAAAATCTCGAGTGGCAGCCTCGTACCGGCAGGCGAAGTGTAGGGCGTCCCCCCACTAGATGGAGTGACGACCTGGTAAGATGTGCAGGAAGTCGATGGATGCAGGTGGCTCAGGACCGTGCTTTGTGGCATTCTTTGGGGGAGGCCTATGTTCAGCAGTGGACTTGTGAAGGGCTGTAATGATGATGATGATGATGAATTATTGAAATAATTAGTATAGATTAATTAAACGTTTATTAATTATAAACTTGATTATTTATAAACAAACAGTATTTATTTATTACTACGTATGGATGATATAATTTAATCAAACAGCAAGCACGTTGTTCATTTTTAATGAAAACTAGCTGTTCACCGCGACTTCACCCGCATGTAATTTAGGGTTTTAATTTTTTTAAGCGGAACCCTAATTCATTTTATAAAATAAAAGTAGCTTAAGGTACTCCTTATAACATCATAACATCGGCTATCTCTCAGTGGAAGTCCTGTCAAAATCGGTCCAGCCATATCGGAGATTAGCCGGAACAAACAGACATACCTACAGACAGACAAAAATTAAAAAAAATGTGTTTTTGTTATAAGTGCCGTATATATGTATATATCATATGCATTTAGTGAAAAGCTGTTATTTTGATATTACAAACAGACACTTCAATTTTATTTATTTATTTGTATAGATTAATGTATTAGGATCACGGTGCTGCCATCTCCTGAGTTGTTTCCCGCTGTTGTCTCTTACGACACCCACGGGATGATATGGGGTAATGGATATTTTATTCCGCCACTACACGGTCACATGTATTTGAGTGTATTTACGTCACAAATCATTCGATGTGTCGAAATTTGAGCGGTGCTGCAGTCCCTTCAGGGGTGCCAAGTTGACTGTCGGTACATATATCGAAGTGCTGAAGTGTTTGTACAGTAGGGCTACGATGGATATCTGAGTATAGAATCAGAGTACGAAACCTATCCAAATGCAGAGAGGTGTAAGACAGGAAAACGTAATATCCCCGAAACTCTTCACCGCTGCATTGGAAGACGTTTTCAAGCTACTGGACTGGAAAGGATATGGTATTAACGTCATTGGTGAGTACATCACTCACCTTCGATTTGCCGACGATATAGTCCATATAGTAAAATCGCTGGAAGATCTAAGCACTATGCTCAATGACCTCAATAGTGTCTCCCAACGAATATTTCTTAAGATGAACATGGATAAAACAAAGATCATGTATAACGTCCATGTCACACCTATGCCGGTAGTTGGGAGCACTTAGCTCGAAGTTGTTAACGAGTATGTTTACCTGGGACCAATAGTCCGACGTAACTCCAACTTCGACCGAGAGGTCAATCGACGGATTCAACTCGGCTGGGCAGCGCTCGGGAGATTACGACACATCTTCTAGGCATACCTCAAAACTAGATTATACAACCAGTGCGTGTTGCCAGTGATGACTTATGGATCTGAGTCCTTCATTGCAGGCCGTATGAGGAAGCTCAAAGTCGCTCAGCGAGCTATGAAGAGTTTGAAGAGTTTCTTTGAGTGATAGACTTAAAAACGAGGATATCCGCAGTAAAACCAGTGTAACCGACATAGCCCAACGGATTAGTAAGCTGAAGTGGCAATGGGCAGGCCATATGGCTCGGGACCGTGCTTTTTGGCGTTCCTTGGGGGAGGCCTGTGTTCAGCAGTGGACTTGTGAAGGACTGTAATGATAATGACGTCACACATCTTTGATTTTATCGGGACGATACAATGGGGAGAGAACGTGGTAGCAACATGTCGTCGTCGATAACCTGTCGGCATCAGTATATAGGTGTTGTGTTTGTTCATGAAAAGGTATCATAGGTCACTACATACATTTCAGTGCTCCGATTTCGGTGAGCCTGTATCGGCGACGTTATCGTGTCGACCAATGAAAAAACGTTCTAAATTAATATGAAATTCGTAATGCCCTCGCACATTACAACCGAATCCAACGCAATATAATTATATACAATAATCTATGCATCCGTTCTTGCGATGTTAATTGTTAATAGCTAAAAAAGACAAACATATTTTATCGTATCTAAGTATTGCATATTTTATGCAGTATTAAACTCGCGCGTTTGTTGTAATCTTTGTATCAATTTTGTTTAATATAAAAATCAATTGCTGTCCGTCGATCTATTCTGATGAATTTTTTGTGTGCTTGACTAGGTCCTTGGATGGTTAAGATTCACAATTAGACCCGCGGTAGGTGAAACTGTTGTCGAGATCCAGAAATCACACGTGCGAAGCCGGGGTGAATCGCTAGTATTCAATATTAATTTAATAATGTGAATATTTGTAATTCCATTTTTGAAAAATATGCCTGTTTGCTATGATGGTCACACTTGACTCGCGGATTGATGATCACAGTAGGTACTAGAAGTTTCGCAACTTTGACGATGCTTTTCTTCACTAATCTGGATATTTTACGTCTGATATAAACGAGATCGTTTTATAGTCGTCTATCGGAAGCCATATCTTTATGGCATATCCCAGTGTCGCCTCTTGCGACACCCACGGGATGATTACTTCTCTTACGCCGTCATTTAACTCACGTCTTGCCTAGCCGCTTTTTTCTGTTGTTCATTTTGGTTCCATCATAAATAAGTCAGACATTATACGAGTACATAAACATAGACATTAACTATTAACACAACACCTAGTATCTCAACATGTGCCGTATAAGATTCTCGGACACTCGAATAATGAACTAATGGCTATTTTTATTATTTTTGTATATAAAATTACGTGTCACATTGTTTGTCCGCGATGAACTCCTAAACTCCTAAACTGATTGCAATGAAGTTTTGCACACTGTGTGAAGTTTGGTCCAACTTGAGAGATACGATACTTTTTATCCCGATAAGTGACCTTCAATATTTATTTATTGCGAATTTATGAATTTTTATAGGACACAGGGTTGTCGGAAAGGGCAGAACAACGTCTGTCTGGCCAGCTAGTCGTTATATATAAAAATTACGTGTCACAATGTTTGTCCTCGATGAACTCCTAAACTACTTAACTGATTTCATTGAAATTTTGCACACTGTGTGCAGTTTGGTCCAACTTGAGAGATAGGATAGTTTTTATCCCGATAAGTGATAGGAGGAATTAGGAGTTTTTTAGGAAAGCAAATGGTCGTCGGAAAGGGCAGAACAACGTCTGCCCGGTCAGTTAGTTCATTATATTTTTAAGCAATAATAATAAGAAATGTTTTGCAATATATTTGTTTTATAACGTCACGTTACCTACGTCCTAATCGATTAATGACATTTTCATAATTTATTTTCACTTTTGATGATGATTGATTTCGACCCACAGACCACTCGATTCACACGTATAGATTATGGTGTTTGGCGGAAACTCGTCGTCTAGCCAACTTATGGGAAATGGATGATTTTTTTCGTATCACTCACAAAGACATGCAAGTCTGCATGGAGCAGTTAGCTAATTTACGCTTTGCTGATCACACGTCGGCCATTGAAGCAGGTAATGATAGGATTATGACTATTTTTCAACTACAGTATTTAACATTTATTTTTATACTCGTGTACAGTGTTACATATTATAATTTGACTATAATTCTTACAAATTGGCTTGCAAATAAAAAAGAGAATCGTTTGTTTTTTTCATCTGCCTAAATTAAAAATCTAAATGTCACGATATCTCCGAACAATTTTAGTATTACGGATTGTCATTCAAATTTAAATATATAAATAAGATAAAAAAATATCAGGCTCTCATTTCTGATAGTTTTTTTAGCATTTAGCATTTTTTTTAGCATTAGTGACAGGAAGTGTCCACCGCACTGTGCAGATTCCTATTGTTTTATATGTCTTCGCAATATTTTTATTTAATTTATCAGACTAAGAGGGAAATTTATCAAAATTTTCTGCTAGTGTGAACGGTGTAGGCTGTAGCCGCAGACAAGTGGCAGTATATTCATTTGAAAATGTCAAACCAAATTTCACATACCTAATAAACATACATAGGTACATAAGTAATGGAAAGCACAAGTGCGCCAGTGTGGTAAAAATTAGCAAATATTTCTGGAAATGCACCACTTCATATTCTTGAAAAGGTTTATTACGGCGGTGTATTGAAAATGCTGTTGAAGAGAAGAAATAAATTATTTTACAAATTTATTTCAGAAAACATTGGTGTTCATGAGAAAGTGAGCGCTAAAATGCGAGAAAAATTAGTCTCCGAAGTCAAAGTTAACATACAAAAATTAAAGGTGAGTGATTTTTTTATTTGGTTTTCTATGAACCGAATGATAAATGTTGCTATATCGTGAAGGCCTGAGAGAAGTTGGGAATTATTTTTATTTTCTTGGACTTTGGTTTCGTAGCGTTCTTTTGCAACCAAGTACGTGGCAAATCAGCACTTGTAATTGCATTTTAGAATTTTACGAGGTGTCGACGGGGATCAAACTGTGTGCTCGTTTACTTTAATATAATATTTTAAGGTTAGCGCTTATCCCCTCTTATTTTACAAAATAAAACATACAAAGTTAGGAAATTAATTAAAAGCAATTTAGTTTAGCTGAAAATATCGTTAACAGGATGCTGCGGAGGTGATAACAGTGGTCCTGTCGGCAGTGTGCGCCACTACGAGCTTGGCGCACTTGACGATGATTTTCCCGAGCAATGCGGAGTGGCGACGTATTACACGGCCACCACAAGCCGACAACTCGATTTACGTGCAAGAATTTTTAGGTAAACTAACTTTTTAACTAAACGATTTGTAGTGTTCGATATTTGAAAGTCAAAATTTCAATAACAGAGACACCGTTTTGAGATCTATAACAAACTATACAGAGGCAAAGCTCCCGAGGAGCTGTCAAAATTTTTATTTATATTGGTAGGGTTCGCACAGGAGGATAAAATTAAATAAACAAAACGTTTATCAGCTTTTATTATTTTTGTGTATTTCAATATTCTGTATTAAGTTTTTTTAGAAAACTTAATACAGAATTTTTCGAAATGATCCTCACAGAGTCTATATTGTTGCCTTTTTTATAATCAAAAAGTTTTGAAAGGATATCTTCTCTTACGACAGCTTTTAACCACTCTTGCCGTCTGAAATAATAGTAATAAAAAAACATGAACCTACGTATTTAATTTATAAACGTTATAAAAATAACAATTCAATCACTTATATGTAGGTTGGTCACTTATAGATCTATCGACCACATTAAAAATAATAAATTATAGTCAAGTTACTACTTACCTATACTAGAATTATTTTGTCCGTGCAGTTTGGGTCATAAATCATCGGCGTATTTCGCTCTTTCTCCTACTCACGGGTCTTAAGGGCGAGCATAGTGATGCGCATTATTTTTGTCGATAAGCGTTATCGATAGTGTATTTAGTTTTGTCATTATATGGGTTAGTGATAATAATGAAAAAAAAAATACTTACTTACTTATCTTCACGCACAATCCCTGACGGGGTAGCCAGAGAGAACAAATTGCCAAGTGTCACGATCCTTACATACCTCTTTCGCTTCTTTCAGATTCATTATCTTCTTCATACATGCACGTCTAGGTATCCGAGTACTCTTGACCCTACTCTCTTCGAGCAATTTGCTCACATGGTCTTCGAAAGTTAGACTCGGTCTACCTCGACACCTTTTAATATTAACTTTCGCGCTATATATTTTCTTCACCATTCGGTCTTCACTCATTCGCTCAACGTGCTCAAACCACCGAAGCACGCTCTTATCAATTTTTGTGATAAGGTCATCTTTCAAACCTGCCATATTGCGAATCTCTTCGTTTCGCTTTCGGTCAGCCATGGTAACGCCGCACATTTTACGAAGAGATCGCATCTCCACTGCATTCAACTTGCTTTTATGCTTCTTCTGGCATACCCAGGTTTCGCTGCCATATAATAAAGTCGGTACCAACACTGCGTTATGTATTGCAAGGCGTGCACTCTTCACTACGCCTTGCCTTTTGACTAACGCAGTCAGGGCACCATTGACTTTGTTCCCGGCAGCGACACGCCTGTCCACATCTAAATCACATCTTCCATCCCGGCTAAAAGCACTCCCCAAGTATACAATTTCATTTACCTGTTCTAGTCATTCCTGATTTACCCATATTTCACACTTCGTTCTTTCTTCGTCCCTTTCAAATACCAGAACCTTAGTTTTATTAGCATTCAAACGGAGACCTTTAATTTCACATTTTTCTTTCATACACGTGACTAATGCCTGCAGTTCTGCCTCTGATGGTGCAATAAGCACTGCATCATCAGCATATAACAGACAATTTACTTTTATGTCACCCAATTTCACACCCAAACAGCTATCTTTCAGCTTCTGTAAACAGCTGTCGAGATACAGTATGAACAGCCAGGAAGACATGACACAACCCTGTTTTACGCCCGTTTGGATGCTAAACATGGGTGACAGGTCATGCCCTACCCGCACACAGGCTTTACAGTCACAGTAAAGAGACTGCACAACCCTTAGCAATCGACCATCCACACCATACCCCGGCAACAGTTCCCACATTTTCTTCCTTACAACCTTATCAAATGCTTTCCAAACATCCACAAAAGCACAGAATCTTCTGGTTAGCAGCCAGAAGCTTTTCCGTGATCATGCGGAGAGAAAACATTTGATCCGTGCATCCTCTTCCAGGTCTAAATCCGCATTGTGCCTCCCATAGAAATCTTTCCGATTTCTCTTGCATCCTACGTGTCAAAACCTTCGAGTAAACTTTACTTGCTAAACTGGTCAAGCTGATCGCCCGATAGCACCCGCAGTCAAAATGTGAACCTTTACCTTTATATAAAGGCACAATGACTGCGGATCGCCAATCATCCGGGACATCCCCCGTCCGCCAGCACAAATTGCACAGCAGATGAAAGCTGTCCCAGTCGCGAGGCCCACCATACTTGACCATTTCAGCAGTAACTCTGTCTAGTCCCGCAGCCTTACCACATTTCAAACTTCGAATCGCACGTTCAATCTCTTTCATACTGATGACCTCAGTGTCATCGAGGTCCGGGTCTGGCGTACCAGTCACGGCGTCATCCCCGGATCCCTCACTAAGATCATCACACGCATACATTTCTCTATAAAATTCGCTCCATCGCTGCATGACGTCCGATTTTTCTGAGGGGACGTCATTAGTTCTCGAAAGCACTTTGTTCATTCTTAAGGCCGTCGCACCACTTCGGGTCCTTCCAACCTCTTTCCAGAAGAGTTTGGAGTTCTCCTTAAAGTTGTGCGACAACCTTTCGTCCGCTTCCATTCTACACCTTTCACGCACTTCCTCAATCAATGCTTTCGTGTGAACTTACTTTCTGCAGCCTATATCTTTCTTTCATCTTCTCTCTCATATCCTTATCATTACTAGAGGCCAAGTAGTCTAACCATGCTTTCTTCTTCTTCTTTACAGCTTCTTTCACTTCATCATTCCACCATGCATCTCTTCTTTTACTACTGCCTCTTTTTATTGTTCCACACACTTCTTCCGCTGCACTTACCATTCCATCCCTAAGGTTCTGCCATGTTCTTTCTACACATTCTTTTCTGCCATCGATGGTGTCAAGCTTTTCGGCTACCCTCGCATGATATTTGTCCCTAGTATCCGCTTCCTGAAGCTTCCAGCTTCGGATGCGACAGACCGACTGTGGTTCTGTTACTGCCGTCCGGTAGCGCCAACCCGCGAACAGACCCCTAAATCTAGTAATCACTAGATAGTGATCCGTTCCCAGGTCAGCACCCCTGAACACTCGCGTATTCATCACCTGTTTTCGCAGTCGGTCATTCACCAGGAACAAATCGATCATACTTCTCTCATTCTTTCGTTCTCTAGTATACATATGGATTTTTTTTATTTATTTATTTATTTATCCTTTATTGCAACACACCAACTAGGGGTTACAAAGGGCGGACTTAATGCCCTATGGCATTCTCTACCAGTCAACCCGACGAAAAATGGAATAAATAAAGATGTTGGCAGGTGCAAGTTAAGGACAATAATAAAACATAAGTTATAAATGAAAACAGTTCAGCTATAATAAATAGAATACACAATACATAACCAACACACATATGTAAATATATATACACATACACACAACACACACATATATACATAAATAAATATAAATATATAAATTATAAATACACATATAATATATTAATATATGTAATATATTATATATATAAAACGGGGAAGGCAATTAATTGTTGTTTACCTCTAAATAATGTTGTCGCACCAATCTTTTAAACAAAAGCTTATTCGTAACTTTCTTGACATCAGCGGGTAAAGCGTTCCAGAGGAGAATAGCCTGAACTGTGAAGGAAGAATTAAAAAATTTTGTTCTATGTTCTGGAATGCTAACTTTAAGTGCGTTAGAAGGACGAGGTTCACGGCCGGAAATAGAGTAGAGAAAATTGAAGTTTTCTTTAAGATATGGCGGGGAATTAGCATCATTTAAGATGGAAAAAAGTGTCAGTAAAATTCTGGAGCAACGCCTTTGACGTATAGTGAGCCACTTAAGCTTAGAACGATAGGCAGAGATATGGTCGTATTTACGTAAATTAAAAATAAATCTTATACAATTATTGAGAAGGCGCTCCAACTTGTTGAGAAGATTTTGCGATAGATCCGGATAGCACACATCAGCATAATCAATAATGGGAAGAATGAGGGAATTTACCAACATAAGCTTAGTTTTGAAGGGCAAGAAATTTTTCAGACGATACAGGGAACGCAAGGCAACAACAACTTTACGGCTTATTTCAGAGATTTGCAAACTCCAGTTCATAGTTTGATCTATATGCAAGCCAAGATTAACTATTGATTCATTGAAAGGGATCGATATACCATTGTAAACCACAGGTTCAAGGTTTCTATAGTCAATCCTAGCCAGCATCCTTGAACTGCCTACAATCATTGCTTTGCATTTCAACGGATTTACCGAGATACCATGCCTGTACGACCAAACTCGGATAGCATCAAGATCATCGTTCATCAGCCTTATGACGTTATTGATGTCGTCGATACTAGATTGTACGTATAGTTGAAGATCATCTGCATACAAATGGTGCGAACACTTGATAACAGAAGATATGGAATTAATGAATAAAGAAAACATTATAGGAGAAAGTATGCCGCCTTGCGGCACACCAGATTCGATGTCAGCCCAGCCAGAGAACTGTTCTCCAAGGCGGACGGACTGTTGGCGGCCGCGAAGATAGGATGAGATCCACTCCAAAGCTGAGGATGAAAATCTAAGATGAGTCAGAATAGAGAGGAGGATGTCGTGATCAACTGTGTTGAAAGCATTTGAAAAGTCAACAAGTACCAGCACTGTCACTTTCTGTTCATCCATACCTCTTCTTATGTCATCAGTGACCTTAATTAGTGCAGTGATGGTACTGTGACCAGACCGAAACCCTGATTGAAAAACATTCAATAGGTTATGTTCTTTTATGAAACAAGAGATTTGCTTATACACACAGGCTTCAAGAACTTTGGACAGGAATGGGAGAACAGAAATTGGTCGATAGTGAGAGGGTAGTGTAGGATTAGGAATTTTGGGAAGAGGTCGAACATAAGCTTGTTTCCACAAAGTTGGGTATTGACCTGAGTCCAAGGAGTAATTTACAATATGTGTTATTGCTGGGAGAAGAAACTCGAGTAACATATTCACCATAGTCTTGCTTATGTCATCACAACCCAGAGCCTTGG